CACAAATCACCACCGCGAGCGACGAGCGACCACTTTAGACTAGTTCAGACCTCAGACTCTCAGACCGTCTCGAAGAAAAACACCGTTGGCGACTGGCGACCACCACGAGACAACCGCGAGAGTCGCGAGACCAGACGAAGACGTTCCTTGCAGTTCCTCGTGTTTCAGGGGGCCTCAGCCTCAGAGCCTCAGGCTATCTGAGGTCCGAGGGAAAAGAAGCCCTTTAACGTTATCACTGTTATCAGTTGTAGGTTGTGGGATATCTCTAATTCGAGCATTTCGGGTTTCGGGCTGGCGTCGCTGGACTCGCTGGCGACTGGCGAGTCTTTGCGCGAATCAGAGATTCGTTTTTCTCACATTGGCATCCTGGCACGATTAGAATCAACTAGAATGCACTAAAAAATGAACAGGGCAGGGGCAGATTCGAATTGCTGCAGTATAAACATACATACATATAAGTATTAAGTGCTGAAACGTGTGACAACTGACGAACTGACTGCTGACAGTCAGAAAAAGATTGAGTATCGGCTATCGGCACTCGACAGTCGACAATCGACGGTAATATCACGTGGCGAGGAATGGGCTCTTCTGCATTATTTCGATAGTTGACGATCATCGTTCTTTTTTGCGCAATTTCAATTGTTATCATTGTTATCAAAGCCTCTATTATCAAAGCTTCTTTCCGGTATGTAAATATGTAAATTCGAAACCCGATAACCCGATCTTATCGTGTGTAGCGATAGAAATTGACATTGACAATTGACCAATATTTTCCAGATTGCCTCGCTCCTCACTCCTCGCCTCGCCCTCGTCCACGCCTGTCGCCTCCGCTCCGCCTCGAGATCAAGGCATCGAGACCTCGACGCCTCGACTCTCAACTCTCGACTCGTGATCATTGACTCGTTTACGAGAGCAGAGAGAAATATAACCTTTTTCTCTGATGAGAGACATACCTACGTGTTTTTTAAACGCTTTTTTTTTACCGCGTTTACGACTCTCTTTTAGTTTATTAGTTTACTCGATCCATTCCTTGAATTAACATTCGATACTTGCTTAATTATAAGATTATAATTAAACAAACAAAAGAGCAATATATGTTTTTGTTCCAAAGTGTGTTCGCGGAAATATTGCGTTATATCGTGTAAGTGATGAGACTGATTTTTACACAGGTCTCGGACGTGTCATATGGATGCATATGTACATATGTGTGGTGTGGGGCGCTATCACTATCACTATTACTATTAATAATATTAATTCGCATACGCGCGCGCCTACATGTACGGAACAGTTTTACAGTGTTATATAAAAAAAGTATATTGTATTATTCTTATATTATCTGGTCCCGTTGAGATGATGAATCATAATGTCGCGATAAGCCAAGCCGCGCATTCTCGGATTACTTAAAAGTTCGTCTGGTTCGTAACTGTTGGTCAACTGTTCGTAGGCTGTCGTAAAGAAGATTTCAAATGATTGGGATATTGGGATAATAAAAGCCTTAATTGTGTGTGTGTAATTGTAAATTATCATCTTAATTATGGTAACCTACAAAATCTCGTTTATTATATCGTCTATCTTGGTTCGCGTATCTGTTTCAAAATGTGAAAGCAAATAATGTAATACAAAGAGCTATGTTTTATGCAATAATATGATAGTAATAAATATTCTCTTCTAAGTCTTTCTGTAACGCAGAAAGTCTTTTATATTACCTACAAATAATAGTTTGCAAAATAACGGATGTGTATTTACGACACCTACGTTATATGGGCAATAGGCATTTTGTACATAGTATAGAATATAGATGTATATTACATATTAATAATATCTAATTTGATTGATAGATAATACACGATGCCGAACGTACCACGAATCACTAGATCTTTGCGGATGTTTACTTCTCTGGAACGCAGAGGAGAAATGTTAGACTTGGAACCAAATGACTTGGTGAAAAAAAGAGAAGAACGGACAAAAAGATTAAAAAGGTAAATGGATATTTCATGTTGAAAAAATATGTATGGAATGTTTAACAAATCTTTTACTTGCGCGCGTACATCTTACATATTATCTGTATAATATATTAGTATATTTGTGTGTTACAGTCTTGATTGGCATTATATAAGCAAAAGTGCATCTAAACATCTTATGGCACATCTGCAAGCATTAAGAAACATTGTGCAACAAGCTTTAGGTGAGTAATAAATAATAATTAAGATATACTCTTATTTTTAACAAATATGATCTTTTTAACTTAGATTTGGAAAACTAATGACACTCAATGACACTCTACTTTCTATTGGATAACGTATTTTGTTTAATAAGTATTTTGCAACTAAATAACTTGTAATTTAATTTTAAAATGTTATTTTTTTTTTCTTTCCAGCAAACGACTGCCCAGATGTTGTTAACGAATTCACAGTTTATGCATTGCGTTTATTAATTGAAGACAAAAATTTGTCGCGAAAGAAATATGATATACTTGGCCAAAAATCGGGAAATTTAACGTATCAATGTGCAGAAGCTATGATGCGGGTATGATATAATAATATAATATATTCTACAACTTTGATTTTTGTCGCACAACGTACGTTATTTTTGACTGTTTATATTTTCTCACATTCCTAGGTAGTGACTAAAATTCAGATGGAATGTCGTGAAGAAGCAATAGCATTGTTATCAGAATCCAAAGAGAATGCAAACGCTCCAGATTTTTCACAAATTTTTGGCACAGATATTCCTTATAATCGAGCCAGAGCCATGTGGCCAGATACAGTTCAACTTCACAATATGTCCACGGAAAAGACAAGCTCGAATACTGATAAATTTACAATGATGATACATGAAACGAAACCTTTAATACAGAAGAGAGCAGTGAGTATATCTGTTGAATGCTTGAACAAAAAAAGAAATTAATCTTCCAATCAATTTTTTAATCATCTTTCATCTTTCAATTCTAGTTTGACAAAGCGACATTCACAGAAGGATTACAAAGTTGCTACAACAACTGCAGTACAGAAATGTCATATCCGGATTTTGCAATAATAATAATAGAAAAATTAAAATGTACGCACTCTCAAAATATACAAACGGAACTGTTCGATATGTTAGGTTGCGAACACTTTGAATTTATCAAATACATTATTGAACATCGAAAGACCATCGTATCAACGTATTCGTCAGCAAAAGTGACCAAGAGACCGCAAACAACTGTGCAGGGGCCTATAATGAGTGGCCAGGTAACTGTACAATCCGAAATGGAAAAGCAGTTGTGCAAGCAAGTACGTAAGGAGGAAAAGAAAATCAACCGAATGGCGAACAAGCGAGACGGCAAGTCGGAAGCCGAGGAAAGAGATTCGATCGAGCTGCAATTTAAGAAACAGGAAGCATTGAGAGCCACGTGTGCCCCGCTATTTCCTAAGAAAAATGGTCTGGAGAGAGGCGCGCAGGAAAACTTTCCATTTGTATTTGATTCTAAAGCGAGCGCTAAGCGAGCGAGCGTTGTGTCGGGGCAAAAGTTGCTGCTGGCTGAAGATGTTAGAAGGGAGAATAGCGAACTCTGTGAACAAGTACACATACCGATATCGAAGCAAGAATCTATCGACGTTAAGATAGATCCCGTGTCGATATCTTCTCTAGACGAGATCGGCCGAATTGCTTTCAGCGGCGTAACGTCGTTAAATAAAATTCAAAGTATTGTTTTCAACGCGGCGTACAACACTAACGAGAACCTCCTGATTTGCGCCCCGACCGGAGCGGGAAAGACAAACGTGGCCATGCTGGCTGTGGTGAATCAATTGAAGCAGAACATTCGGGACGGACAGTTGGAGAAGAGTCAATTTAAGATAATCTATATCGCGCCAATGAAGGCCCTAGCGGCGGAAATGACCGCCAACTTTAACAAGAGACTCGGCCCTCTGGGCGTGTGCGTTCGCGAGCTGACCGGCGACATGCAACTGACGAAACGGGAGATCCAACAGACTCAGATGATAGTGACCACGCCGGAAAAGTGGGATGTCGTGACGAGAAAGGGTACGGGCGACATCTCCCTCACTAGTATCGTGAGATTGCTCATCATCGACGAGGTGCATTTGCTGCACGGTGACAGGGGACCTGTGGTAGAGGCGCTGGTCGCGAGAACCCTGCGCCAGGTGGAATCGTCGCAGAGCATGATCAGGATAGTCGGGCTGTCCGCCACGCTTCCGAATTACGTGGACGTCGCGCGATTTTTGCGCGTCAACCCGTACAAGGGATTGTTCTACTTTGATCATCGCTTCCGGCCGGTGCCCCTCAGTCAAACCTTCATCGGCGTCAAGGCCGTCAAGCCGTTGCAACAGATGACCGACATGGACCTCGTGTGTTATGACAAAGTTGTGGAGATGGTGCGACAGGGCCATCAGGTAATGGTATTCGTGCACGCGCGCAACGCTACCGCGAGGACGGCGAACGTTCTGAAGGAACTGGCCTCGCAGAACGATACGCTCAAGTACTTTATTGCCGACGGGCAGGCCAAGTACGTGAACAAGGCGTTTGCAAAGTCGCGCAACAGGCATCTCGGTGAGTTGTTCAACAGCGGGTTGTCGATACATCACGCTGGCTTGCTGCGCTCCGACAGGAATCTGGTCGAGAAATACTTCGCCGACGGTCTGATCAAAGTGCTGGTGTGCACCTCCACGCTGGCGTGGGGCGTGAATCTGCCCGCGCACGCGGTCATCATCCGCGGTACCGAGATCTACGATTCGAAGCACGGTTCGTACGTGGACCTGGGCATCCTGGACGTCCTGCAGATCTTCGGCCGTGCCGGCAGGCCGCAATTCGACAAGTCGGGACACGCGGTCATCATTACGTCCCACAACAAGCTGTCGCACTATCTGTCACTGCTGACGAATCAAATACCGATCGAGAGCAGCTTTATCACGTATTTGGCCGACAATCTGAATGCCGAGATAGCGTTAGGCACGATATCAAATGTGACGGAAGCGGTCGAATGGTTGAGCTACACCTACCTCTTTGTACGGATGAAATTGAATTATCAGGCGTACGGCATGGTATATCAAACTCTCCTCAACGACACGAATCTCGAGAAGAAGCGAAAGGAGCTCGTGGACGTGGCCGCCAGGGCGTTGGACAAAGCGCGGATGATCAGGTACGACGCGCGCACCGGTGATCTTAACGCGACCGATTTGGGACGTATCGCGAGCCACTACTACCTCAAGTACGACACGGTCGAGATCTTCAACGAGCTCCAGAAGTCTGTCATGACCGAGACGGAGATTCTGGCGATGATATCGCGCGCTCAGGAATTCGAGCAGCTCAAGGTACGAGACGACGAGGTGAACGAGTTGGACGAGCTGATGCGAGACTGCCAGCTCGTGGCGCAAGGCGGCGTGGAGAATGTCCACGGTAAGGTCAATATATTGCTGCAAACCTATTTGTCCAGGGGTCGGGTGGACACGGCGTCATTGATATCCGATCAGGCGTATGTGACGCAGAACGCCGTCCGGATAGCCAGGGCACTCTTCGAGATCATGCTCAGGCGCAACAACGCGATAATGGCCGGGCGGCTGCTGCAGATAGCCAAGATGTTCGAGGCGCGACAGTGGGACTTTCTGACGCCGCTGCGCCAATTCGATTGCCTCTCGATGGAGATCATCGAGAAGATCGAGGGACGGGACCTCGAGATCTATCGGTTGCAGGAGATGGACGCGAAGGAGGTCGGCAATATTTTGCGGGACCAACGGGCGGCGAGCCTAGTGAAGAAGTGTTGCGACGAATTGCCCGCGTTGGACGTAGAATATAGTTTACAACCTATCACGCGCACCGTCTTGAGGATACGGCTGAACGTGGTCCCGCAGTTCCACTGGAACGACAAGGTTCACGGGAAGAATTCGCAAGCCTTCTGGATATGGATCGAGGATCCGGACACTAACTTTATTTATCATCACGAGTATTTTATCCTGACGAAGAAGATGGTCTGTCAACACCTCGAGCAACAACTCGTCGTGACCATACCGCTGTCCGAATCGTTGCCGTCGCAATATTTGGTGAAAGTTACGAGCGATCATTGGCTCGGTTGCGAGGCCACATTTCCGTTGACCTTCCACGATCTCATTCTCCCGGAGACTCATCCCCCGCACACCAATCTCCTGGAATTGCAGCCGTTACCGATAACCGCCCTGAAAAGTCCAGACTTGGAGAGCTTGTACAATTTTTCCCACTTCAATCCGATACAGACGCAGATCTTCCACTGTCTATATCACACGGATAACAATGTTCTCCTCGGCGCTCCAACCGGCTCGGGGAAAACTATCGCGGCTGAGATCGCCATGTTTCGCGTTTTCAAACAGCATCCCGATCGGAAGGTCGTTTACATAGCGCCCCTGAAAGCTCTGGTCAGGGAGCGCATTAATGACTGGAAGATACGACTGGAGGAGCGGCTAGGTAAGAGGGTGGTGGAGCTGACCGGGGACGTGTCGCCTGACATAAAGATGATAGCCGGCGCGAGTGTGATCGTCACGACGCCCGAGAAGTGGGACGGTATTAGCCGGAGCTGGCAAACGCGCAGCTACGTGAAGAAAGTGGCGCTTATAGTGATCGACGAGATTCACCTGCTGGGCGAGGACCGCGGACCGGTCCTCGAGGTGATCGTCTCCCGCACCAATTTCATATCCTCCCACACGCACAACAAGGTCAGAGTCGTAGGGCTCTCGACCGCGCTAGCTAACGCGATAGACCTGGCCAATTGGCTCGGCATCAAAGAGATGGGCCTCTACAATTTCCGGCCGTCCGTGAGACCCGTGCCGCTGGAGGTCCACATCAGCGGATTTCCTGGCAACCACTATTGTCCCCGGATGGCGACCATGAATAGGCCAACCTTCCAGGCGATTAGACAACACGCGCCCGCCAGTCCCTCTCTCGTATTTGTATCCTCTCGCAGGCAAACGCGCCTGACTGCCTTAGATCTGATCGCCTATCTCGCGGCGGAGGATAATCCCAAGCAGTGGTTACACATGCCGGAAGAACAGATGAACGACATTCTGGAGAATATAAATGACTCGAACCTAAAGCTCACACTCGCCTTTGGAATTGGCCTTCACCACGCCGGTCTTCAAGACAGAGACAGGAGAACCGTCGAGGAATTGTTTGTCAATAATAAGATACAGGTATGGATGCACAGTTTTGAAAAGTATTGTAAAAATGTAAAAATGACTATCCCGCACTGTATGAATGTTGTATTAATCAATTGTTAATTTAGGTACTAATCACTACGGCCACCTTGGCCTGGGGTGTTAATTTCCCCGCTCATCTGGTGGTGATTAAGGGCACGGAATATTACGACGGCAAGCTGAAACGTTACGTAGATATGCCGATAACGGACGTTCTCCAAATGATGGGTCGCGCTGGCAGACCGCAATTCGATAATTCCGGTGTGGCGGTCGTGCTTGTTCACGACTTAAAGAAGAATTTCTACAAGAAATTTTTGTACGAACCATTCCCCGTGGAGTCGAGTCTGATGGGAGTATTACCCGATCATATCAATGCCGAGATCGTTGCTGGCACCATCAAGAACAAACAAGAGTTTCTCGATTACTTAACGTGGACATATTATTTTCGAAGATTGATGAAAAATCCGAAATATTACGATCTGGATATCTTGGAGCCTCACTGTATCAACGAATATCTCTCGAGATTGGTAGAAACTACCGTAAAGTCGTTAATGGATTCGTCATGTGTCGATTACGATGAGGTACGATGACAAATCCAATGGAGTAGCATAATGGTTTATACACAGTACAGATAGATGTAACGCTTTGATATGATTCTACCTAGGTCGAGCAAACTCTAGTTTCATTACCGATGGGTAAGATAGCGTCATTCTATTATTTGTCGCACAATACGATGTTGATGTTTACGCAATCACTCGAGGAAAACTTGACGTTGGATCAGTACTTACGTATACTCTGCAACTCGCACGAATACAACGAGTTACCCGTGCGACATAACGAGGAATTGTTAAATGAGTAAGTCTTGAAAGTGTGACGAATCGCTCACTATCCGCTTTCGCTTATTGTTAACTACAAGCGCAAATGTTTGAATTAGGGAACTAGCGAAACTGTGCCGTTACTCCGTAAATCAGTATGATTCTCCAAATACAAAAGCGTTTCTCTTGCTGCAAGCGCATTTCTCAAGGCTGCCATTGTCTTGCACCGATTATATCACCGATTTGAAATCGGTGCTCGATCAAGCAATCAGAATAATACAGGTACGAATAAATTTGATTCCTACGAAAGATATATGAAAGACATACTAACGCCTTTTATACGTATTATTCATTTTCATTATAATTTGAACTCGATAAACTAACAGGAAAGATCTTTTAGGCAATGATCGACACAGTCGCGGAACGTGGATGGTTAACGAGCGCATTAAGGATAATGCAACTATTTCAAATGATCGTGCAAGCACGATGGATAGATGAATCTGCAATTATGACGTTACCACATATAAGGAAGGAAGATTTGCACTTGTTTTCACCGTTGAACTCGGCTCTTCCACTATTATGTTCTATCACATGCGACAATTATAACAGACTCGCAAAGATTTTGCGCGAAGGAGAGTATCGGGTAGACCAAATACGCGAGGTAATAGAATTGAAAAGATATCTCTCTAATGTCTATTATCTATATTATACTTATATTATACGAGACGTTAAATCTATATTTAAAAAATTAAAACGCCTATTTTTCTAGATACATCAAGTAATTAAAAATATGCCGATAATATCTGTTGATTTAATGTTGGAGAATTCTTTGAACGGCGAGAAGAGGATAACGTTGAAGCTTGATGACGACGACGATTCTGTAGTTGTTCGACGAAATGAAGAGTGTACATTAACTGTTGGGTTGAAAAGAATGAACAATTCTAAAACTTTAAAAGCACACTGTCCAATGTTTTTAAAAGGAAAGGATGAAAACTGGTTCTTGGTACTAGGCGACATTCAAAATAGAGAATTATGGGCTCTAAAAAGAGTATCTGGTATAAATAGTCAGCAGAGATATCATCAATTGCTATTTACTGCACCCGACAGTTTAGGTAAACTTATCAGCATGTTTGTAACGCGTGTCTCGTATCTTCATGAGTTTCTTGAAATAAAAATTTGGACATTTATTTTAGGACTGACGAAGTTAACGTTCTACTTGATTTCTGACTGCTACATGGGATTGGATCAACAATACAGTATTTGTCTGGATGTAAGACGCTAAATATATTTAACAGTTACCAAACATCTAAGACTGAAAAAACAACAGACGATATTGTATTCAATTATCGCAAATCTTTCTATATCGTTAATATAAGGATTACAAGAAATAAAAAAGAAAGTTTATGAAATTGTTCATATATATATTTTGAAATGAGCGAAAGATGAGATTTGCTATAGTTGTATACGGAGATAATTACGGGATATTTATAGCAAGTTGTGTACAGAAACTTGTATATTTTTCTTCACATAATTTTATTACACGTCTATGAAATATATATATGTATGGATTATATATATTTTTTTTTCATACAAATATAAACCTTATTACCTCGGTATATAAAGATAGAAAAAGCAACACGTGCAGGATCAGCTGTACGATTTCGTACAATATTTTTGTCACAGATGGGTTTTCTTACTGCGAAATGAATCTGTTGCAGTATATCATTCGTTTTAATTAATGTTTTAGTGAGATAGGATTCTATATCGCAGATTACTGATGATCTCGAGAAATACATTTGATGCAGAAGTTTGGCAAAAAAAAAGGAAAAGAAACATCAGAAATTAAAAATTATTGTATACATGTAGGTTATATATACTGACCCCTTTTCAAATTTACATCGTGTTACAGTAATATAATATTTAGCTTATTCGGTTTATTTCCCCTCCCTCCCCTCTATACTTAGGTAACAATAGATTATAGAATAGGAAGGATATGAGATCGTTCCATTGCTTTGCATGAAAAGAAAGAAAAAGAAAACTATGTATATATGTATTTTAAATCCTAAGTCCAAAAATTCTCGATATATCGATTGCGATACAGATTGTTCATACTAAGGGCACAGAAGAGACTTAACAAAATGTTCCCGATTCCAGTAGTGCATTTAATTTAATTTAATTTCATTTAATTTAATTAATTTAAATCACAGTAAAATGCTGAAATAAAGCACGTAAGCTTTGTTTATATGATAAATTATACCTGAAGAAACTAGAGATTTAAGGTGCGTTCCACTTGGCGTTCACAACGCTCGTGAGCATTATTTGTCCTTGTTTATTTGACAAATAACAAGATTGAAACGATTCTAAGAGCGTTGCGAGCGAGAGAGAATTGCGAAAAAACTTATCTTTATAACAGTATGTATTTTCGTAATTCTAGTCTATATTAATCTATGTCAACCTAAAAACATTCAACTTTAAAATTATGCTAATTCATAATAGCCTAAACGTAACAAAATTCAAGCACCGCAAAAATTATGTTTAACACAAACAGCCCATTTAAAATATAAATTTAAATACGCAAGTTAACAATTTTAATATATCTTTAATATTTTAATCTTATTTGGAAATGCCAACACGATGTTCTCTTCTTTGCCAATAGTTTGAAGTCTGCTTTCTCAAAAGTGCACATGAAACACACTTGGCTATTAATTCTAAAATTAATTCTAAAAAAGTTGTATCGAGAATCAAAGCAAAGAAATATTTAAGCTCCTTCCCATATTGAAATCTGGAAGTACTGAATATCTTTTGTAAGTAATAAACCGAAATGCATTTATGCAAAACGTTTCAATAATGGTACATTTCTATCTGTTATATGTAGCGCAAGACGTAACACTCGCCCCAACACCTGTCGCGTTAATAGCCACATAATACAAATAATATTAAAAGTTATAGCAGTTAAATTCAGTGTCTTCATATTTTCCTCTTGCGTTATAAAATCTCAACGTTCAGCCTAATCTCGTTTAATAATTTATAGAATTTTACCGTTCACATGTTACTGTTAAACATCATTCCACTTAAAAAAAGTGTTTACACTCAGACTGACCAACGACCATATACTTGAATCATATAGTTAGAATTTCTATCACTCGAGAACTAAGGAAGCACTAGCATAACTGACAGAACTGTCATTCATATTGTTACATTGACTACTTTGAGCATATTTCAAAAACTTCAGATTCATTCTTTGACCATTCGTATTTCCTTTAAGACTGTGAATTGCCTGCAAAGATAAAATACAACGTTATCTAGAAGAATTAGATTAATCTAACTCGCTTATCTATTTTCTCGTATTACCTGCAATAAAACGCCGATTGGATGCCGACCGCATATAGTATTACCATATTTCTTAAGATATTCAGTAAACATTGGAGGATTCAAAGTCTCTATAATGTCCATACCCTACGTTGATAAACGTGGAAATATGGAATTAAACTTTGCGATATTTTTGACGTACGATGAGCGAGATTATCTACCATTCTTACTCAAAGATTTAAAAACATACCATTTTGTCGAGATTTTGAATAGATCTATGTATAGGCCCACATGATCTATCATAGTAAGTATAGCGAAAACGTTGTCCCCAATGACAGAAATCTGAAGAAATGACGAACAATGTTTGCGGATCAGCCATATAAGGTGCTAACAGTCTCCCGTAAAGCGCCTCTCTTTCCGGACTCAAAGATCCCACCAAAATCGGGATTATGGTAAATGAGTCTTTGAATCTGTATATATATATAGATATATGAGATATAAATAAGGTAACTATATTTCCCAATCTTGTCATTTAGTAATAAATAGAGAGATTGTACAAGCCTCGTTTATTTACTATAAAATTTTTTATCAATATAATTTTCAGCACTTGTACGTGTAGGTGGGAATTAATTTATTAATCTAAACGTACCCTTCCATAACTTTTGCGATAAACGGCAACTGCATCTCAATGCTATGTTCCTCTTCATCTGTGTTCAGATCCATGCATTCAAAATGACCAGTTTCTTCGAGTTCTCTTCTCACTGTTAAACATATATGCGTTTTAGTAAATTTGATCGATCAAATTATACACACACACACACACGCACACGCACAAGAGAGAAGCACTTTTCCATACATAAAAAAAATATATATATTTTTTTTCAATATTTGTTACAAATTGAGCATTTCAAAAAAAGAGAATATGACATTATAGCAGGGATAGTAGCAAGATCTACATGTAAGCACCTTGTTGATCAATATGTAGATCGTATAACGGTGTTCGGTAAATGGAAGCCGAAGATAGGGCACAACCTGGTAATCTCACATGATGAGAAGGCCCTAGAATAAATATCCTACGGCTGCATAACAGCACGTTGCACGGTTCATTTGACTGAGAAATTTGAAAAATTACAAACTAAACTATATATTATAGAGGCTACTTTATATGATAAAAATTTACATTGATGCATGTATTTAACTATCGCAATATCACTTAAATGGACTAATGTGAGTCTTTTATCATGCGTACAACGAGAAACGTTATTGCAAATACAAAATAATATATGCAAATAATATAGATATAAAGACAGGTTTAAGTTATGTGTCTTTATACATATAGGTATATAATTTTTTGTAAACTGTAACTAGACGCTTGTTTAGTAAAATGCTAAAATAACATAGCTAATATACGTCACACTTACACGACTACAGGACTAATTTGTCGGTAAGCAAAACCAGCACACGCCCCACAATAGCTGTATCCCGCATGCCTGTAAACGTGTACATTTTTATGTTTTACATACAGGTATCTTGAAAAACTTGAAGAATATACTGTATTGGATGATTACTAACGGGGCAATGATTGCTCTAGCAGGTCCATGGGATAAGTCGGCCGCACCCAACCAACCTTCCAACTGTTTACTCAATTCCAAACCTATGACACGTGGATTTTGTGATTTTGACGATATATAAGTCGAAAATTTTTATTACACACGTATAGATAAATACATATGTGTACATGTATTTGTTATATGCGACACGTATAGAAATTTACACAATCTCTGCTTCAAATCTTCTTTTATATGATTCTTATCACCTGACGCACGCACACATGCGATATTACGTGTAGGGTGTAATGAGCAAGAGAGAAAATCTACGTATGTATGTATTTCCACAGAGGTAAATTATCAAGCTAAATTTTAATTTTTTTATCCATATCATATTGTCGTGGTTCTATTTTTATACCGCGCAATCAATTAACAAATTCGCTAAATGATAAAAGTTTGGAATTTAAAATATTTTCCACAAAAATCCATTGATCCATTGATTTCTTAACGAGAGAACGAGAGTAACGAGTAAACAGTCAACGACGAGCGCGAGGAGAAGAATGAGCGAGGAGTAAAATGTGCATTTTTCGATTTCTTACCGTTGTCCGAGTACCAACTACCAGCGTGAGAGGCTCTCCTAATTAATGCCATTTTTGGGCCGAACGCGTTGTTTCGCACGTACTCTAGCTTCGCGTTCGACTAGCACTTGATCCAGCGTGAGACTCGGGAGAGGTGAGAGCGGTGAGAGCACTGAGGAGAGTGCAGGACGAGGAGAGCCTCGTCAGTTTCGGCGAGATCACGATCACAAGCGAGGCAAGCGAGATAGAAGTTTCACATATATATATATACACATATACATATATATCAATATGTATGTATGTATATCTTTTTTTTTAATCGAGTGTAAAATGTTTATAAAACGTTATCGTTATCACAAATCCTTGGCTACTGGTCTCTCCTCTCTCCATAGATTATTCAGTGATTATACAGGTGAATGCTAATGCTAAAGTCAGCTAAAGTCGATAGTCGATATTCTTTGACTTCACTTGACTCCTTGACTGAAAGAAACAAAGAGCGCAACGCGCAACATGGCCGATTTGCAATCTCGTTGGGATTGGCTGCGTTCAGCAGACACAACTGTTGAGTTCGTCTTATCAACCCTCCGCGTTGATTGGTTGGTTCTAAAAGTAAGAGCCAATCATGTTCGACTGCTATTCAGCGGCTTGGGGCCGATTTCACAGTCTCCGATTAATGTGATCCTCCGATTAAACTCACTCTACATCTCTTTCTAAAGGCCATTGCACGTAACAAAGTTTTAGTCATAATCGTAAGGCCGTAAGAAAATAGACCAATCACAGTCGATTATTCTCCTTGAGCTCGAAGAATGTTACGTGCAATGGCCTTAATGCTGGGTCTACAATGCGTGTCGCAAAGTCGTGAGTCGCAAGAATTGACCAATCACAGTCGAATTTGAGGAGAATAATCGACTGTGATTAGTCAATTCTTGCGACTCACGACTTTGCGACTCGTATTGTAGACCCAGCATAACTGTCCCCCTAGAAAGAGACGAAAAGTGAATTGAATCGGAGGATCACGTTAATCGGAGACTGTGATACCGGCCCTTGGTCTGCCGAGGTCGCGTTCAGCAGACCAAGCCGCTCAGTAGCAATCGAATGTGATTGGCTCTTACTTTTAGAACCAACCAATCAACGTAGAGTGACGATAAGACAAACTCAACAGTTGTGTCTGCTGAACGCGCCCATTGGTCGGTATTCATAGTCGGTTCTTATATTTAAGACCATCTTAAGTACAATTTTAAGATGTCATTAACCAATCACAGAGTCGTATTAGCATCTTAAGATATTACTTAAGACGGTCTTGAATGAATACCGGCCATTGACGCTTGTGTCGATTTGAGTCGCTATATGTCGCTAAATGAAAACCACCCGTTATAGGGTCTTTACGGGTGACGGGGAGGAAGGCGGAAGTACCCCAAATTCCTTCGCGTGCTACGGTTCATCAAAAGAGCCAATCGCGTTTGAGCGCAGTTCGTTGTTTCGCGTTGTGGCTGGTACCAAATTCCCCAGAAAATACTCTAGAATCTCCAGTCAAATTCGAGACTGTCGCGCGTGCCGTGGTGCCGACGCCGAGGTAGCGGGACATTTTCGTGAGGCAAAACGCACAATCGAGATGGAAATGGAATATTATTGCAGCGCTTCGAGTCTTCGAGCCCGTCGACCGACGTCTACGGGCAATACGGGCATGAGGCTGATGAGGCATCTGCCAGTCTGCCACTTGGAGCACTTGGCTTGGCCATTCGCTTGACCACGGTCGTACAAATTGTTAATATGGCAGACGTTCGGGTCTCTAGTGTTGTTTAAGTTCGTGAAACTGCGAGTGACTGGAGTGACAACTGACAAAACAGTGGACAGTGGGCCCTGTAAGTCCTCTTATCGAAGGGCACTGTGATGCATTGTGATCGGTGATCGGTGATCCGTAATGTGTATGAGATTCTGATCGGCGCACGTCCCGACTCCCGAACTCCCGACGTTCACGTGCGAATTCGTGATTTAACGCGCGCACGAAAGAGAGAGAGGAAGAGAGAGCGCGCGCGCGAGTAACAATCGCGGGCTCTCCGTTCGGTCGGAATCGCGCGAGACTCCTCGTCGAGCCGAGAGTCTACCAACATCGCCAACCAACCTCGACAACGAGAGGTAACATCGACGTCTCCGCGCGCGCGCACGTGCGAGCGAGCGAGAGAAAGAGAGAGAGTGAGAGAGAGGGGAGAGGGGAAAGAAAGAGCAAGCGAGCGAATGTTTTTCTTTTTTTTTCTTTTTAAACATTCGTCCACTTTATTTATCATTGCGAATACGATGGAATTCGCCGCGTCGTGATACGCAGCCGGTGACGCTTCAAGAGTCCCAGAGTCCCAGGTAGGATCGCGACACCCCGCGCTTTTCTCTCACGTTATTTTGACGTTTCGCGCACTGTATAACCTTTCATCCCCCCTTTGTGCTTGTCAATACGTCCTCCGATTCCTCCGAATCCTCCGATAGCAGAAAGCGGGAAAGCGCAGATCCTCGGTCGGCTCGCGCTGCTTGTGTTTACTCGACGCGCGGCGACGGCGACTCGCGGCTACATTCGCGGACAGACTTTAGGTTTCTCTCACAATTTTCGGGAGCATACCATATATTATACCGAGCCCGAGCATCCTTATCGTGTATCCGTCTCTGTAAAGTACAGGTAGCGATTGACCACAGTGACAGTAGCATACCCGTGTAGCATATCCCCTTCCGCTGTCGGATCTCGGCGACTCGGCGACTCGGCAATTCCGTGCTTCGCTAAACGAGACGAATAGCGGCTATAGAGACAGAGTTGGACTCGACGTGATTAAATGCCGAAACGTCAGATTAAAATAAATTATTCGTCTGCGAATTTGTATTGCTGTATGCGTCAAGTATGGATTCGCATGTGTGATACATAAAAAATATATGCAAGAGGTATCCATCTGTAGTTGTTACGGTTATAAGTTACTGTTTACAGCGAAATTGTGACATTGATCAAATACATTCAATGAATAGGTTGACGCGTACATTTAAATTTCAACGATCGTTACACAGGCAAAATCGGAATTCGAGTACGCACCGTAGGCATATTTATATTTATACTCATTCCTGTGTGTCAGACGTAAGAAACTTATGTATGTATTGTATGCAAGTGACACGAGCTTCGTTAGACGTTAGAAGGTTGTATCAATGTATCTGGTAAAAATAATTCTTTGTTTGTTGTTGTAGGAGGTGTGCGTTCACGTCTCTGTACTGCATTTTAATGTAACTATCGCTGAGACCCCTGCGCGATAAGAAAGAGGTAAGTAACACTGTATATATCTTGATAGTCACTGAATAGTCGTTGAGCCAGGAATTAATTGAAATTCTTCTTGTTCCAGCTTACAAGTAATCACGGATTTTTGTCATGGATCATTGGAGATTCCATGAACGTATCGAGTTGTCGAGTGTTGTATTAGAGAGAGAAAAGTGGATGTGCTAATCGAATCTGCAAGATAACGAGAGTGCTTGGTGTGCCTGCTTACGGGCAAAAACATTTTTTAAATAGTAGTGCCACCGGGCTATGGCCAACCTGAACTTTGAACAGCCGCCACGCAGTATTGCGAACGCAGGTCTCACTTCACGCGCAGCTGGCGGCGGGGGAGGTTTGAATACCGTGGCCCTCACGGGTCATGTCACTCCTACCTCGGGCATGTTCTCAGGCTCGTCTGCAAGCACTTCGAGTACAGTCAACTCAGCGATAGCCGTCACTAACGTTTATCCCGGAGCGTCGAGCTCTGGCGGCGGACAAAATAGTCATCAGCAACAACAGCAACTCTCTCCTATGGGCAGTAGAGGACTGTTTGGACAGAGAGCTTTTACCGATAGACGTACGATGCCTGCTCTTGGGTTAGTGTTTCTCTTTTATCTATACGTATATTTCTCTCTCTCTCTCTCGCTCTCCTCCCTCCCCCCTCCCTCTGCAATCATCTCCATCTGTATTGCAGAGCTTCGAATCCAATGGGTAGTATGGGCAGTTTCGGAATACCTCCAAGTCGCAATTACGGATCTCAAGGTGCGGTTAACAATTTCCACTCTGTTTTCGGGAGTGGAGGCAGTGGAGATACGAGTACTCCACCTCTGTTAGATCTCTCGGAGTTTCCCTCCCTAACGAATAGAGGTCAAGGTGATTCTATGCCGCAACCTAGTCCCATGCCGGGGAAACAGCCTTATGGTTAGTGCCAATAAGACGTTAATACAAAAGCAAAATTTTTTTATGCACATTGTAAAACAATCACATTATACTGCACCATATTTGGTTCAAGTATCAGTTTTTTTTTCTTAGAAGGCTTCTTACAAGCTGTCTAATTTAGTGAATTTATTCATAATTTATTTTACGTTTAAAGCAAAACGAGCAACCATACTTGGTTAAAGTATTGAAATTTTCAAACAGAATATAATGCAATAGTATGCATATGCGTCGCAAACCTTTCCAAATATTTTATATAGATGATACTACCTACCTAAGATCGTTTTGCTAATGTAATTTTTATTTGCGTGTGTTACAGTTGGAATGGTAAAACAACCAACATCCGAGTCGAGCGAATTTACCATGAGCTCAGAGGATTTTCCAGCATTACCGGGAACGCAGAATCGAGAAGGCCCGTCACCGGGCGGCAGCATGTCTGGCGATAAGAATATTCCTGTAGGACTTGGTCCAGAAATCGGGCAGGACGTGTTGCAGGCCAACAGAGCACCTGGATCTGAGAAATCTCAATCTTCTAAAAGAGGCATCCAAACATCGCCCGATGGTAAAATTAGAGATTTGTTTCACGAGCGTATTATCTTAATTAAATTATCATTAAATGCGATTAGATAGTTGGGGGTTTCTTCAGAGTTTAATTTTCATTATAATAATCATGTACTCATACACCCAGGCAAGGTGACGAACATACCTGCAAGTATGGTGAAGGATCAATTCGGCATGGTTGGGCTTTTGACGTTTATCAGAGCGGCGGAGACAGATCCGAACTTGGTGTCGCTGGCGTTAGGTCAAGATCTTACTGCATTAGGACTGAATTTGAATTCACCGGAAAATCTTTATCAGAATTTTGGCGGCCCCTGGGCGGAAACTCCATGTCGACCGCAGGATATAGATTTTCACGTGCCACCGGAGTATCTTATAAATGCCGCGATCAGGTACTGGTATTCCAATGCATTATCTAATTTGTCACATTGAAGCTATCTGCATTGTGATAAAAATCTACAAATATTTCTGACGTGCATATAATTGTGAGCGATACTTGAGGTGCTTCTAAATCTTATTGTTAGATAGAGATCTGGTAGATATTAAATGGAAATTGTTTATGACCATTATATTATATCACATTAAAATATATGTATTAAAACGAAATATTAATGGTATAGTATTTAGCATTGAAATAAAATAAATTGTTATTATTGTATACATAAGCAGAATTATGTCATTTGTAGCATGATGTTTTTTTATTGCATATAATTAATTTTATCAACAAAATTAAGTTTCTTATATTTATTTTATAGGGATAAGCTAGCGCCAGTTAAACTAAATCGATATAAAGATGATCTACTGTTTTATATGTTTTATACGAATGTTGGGGATGTATTGCAATTAGCTGCTGCGGCGGAACTGTAAGTAAAAACAAAGTTAATTGTTATACTTAGAAATATTAGCGCAATTACGTGCGATATTTGTGTAATTCTTTGTATGTGATATGAAGGTACAGCAGAGAGTGGCGATATCATATGGAGGAAAAAGTTTGGATAACGCAGGCACCAGGTTTGGGGATTGTAGAAAAGACGTCGACATATGAACGTGGTACTTATTATTATTTTGATGCGCAAAACTGGAGAAAGGTAGCTAAGGAATTCCATTTGGATTATGCAAAACTAGAAAGTAGACCTCATCTTCCTTCGAACTTTCACCAAACTCAGCCTTGACTACAGGTGTGTATTCAATTTTATTCCCTCCTTTTCTTTTACATGTCATATACATTCACGCATGACACACGCACACAAATTGTATCAATTCAATCGATACAAATCTGTAGAAAAGAAGTTCGATGCTTTCGTTCCACAACACTATTGCACTTTCCTCTTGCTTCTCTGTGTTCTTCTCTGCAATTGTTCTGCAAGAAAAAGCAATAGAGATAATCTTTAAATTATAACAGAGATTATATTATCTGTTCTAGACTTGTCTGCAGACCATTGTGCTGTCTTTAAGCTGGAAACGAATCAGCTATTGTATAAATGAACAAATTTAATAATCTTTAATAAAAACATAAAATTTGAAGAGTAATAGGAAATTTTTTAATCGATTAATTAGATACCTTCACCTTCACCGTCATAATTCATTATCTATCGTTCATCATCATCCATCATCATCATTACTACCTTATCATAATAACATCTTTCTGCTCGCAGTTGCGATATTTATCACATTTTCATGATTCTTTCACAATTATAATTTATATTACAATACAATTAATTTTTCCGCTTGCATCGCGAGATTAGTTACACCTTCTGTAGCATTTATGACAAAATGTTCAATGTAATTCCGACTGTTTTTCTCAGAATCTTCTAAGAAATATCTGTGAAGAAAAGCAATAATTCTCTGTATTCTTTTAATTTGATTTCCTTGATTTGATTATTAATTCGAGTCAATTTTCAAATGTATACCTATAGTTGACCATTATGCCGCAACTATTTGCCACTCCACGTGGCGAAGGATCAGCCATCCAGTTTATTCGCCACATCACAGCTCCGTTACGTAAATGGAAATTGGCTACGCGAAACAAATTATGAAGAAGAAATTATTTATCTCACAGTGTTAATCTTGCTTCAAAAATGTATTTACATAATTTGTATATTCATAATGTCAGTATGAAAGAAGAGAAGAAAAATAAGTGCGGAACGTACCGACCATATTTAAAGCATAGCCACGTCGTTTTTCTTTATACAAGTACCATGCGCAAGCTCGAAGTAGTGGTTGTTTTAAAAATTCTGACAGTTGCTTATCCCCTGTCCATAACGAAGTACCCAGAATCTTTTTTAAGGCTACTATCACGTTTTCCGTTTGCAAAATATCTTTTGCAATTCTACATTCATGCGTGGTAAATATAAACGCCATGTCTATGGAACAAATACCTTTATATATATCATTTTTACTCATTTTCTTTTTTTCCCCAACAGTCAGTAGTTACCTTGCTTTAATTTATCGAATAGCCAAGTCTTAAAATTTGGTATCGGTGATAAGCTGGACAATTGTTGTATAGCTGGAAATTCAGTCATGATCTCGCTGGCCACTTTTTTAATCAAATAATTACCGAGCTCAATTCCCTGCGCAAAAAACACCTTTACAGTTAGGTACATATATTTTCTGCGGCGCAGAGTTGTAATATACTTAAATATAATTTATGTCGACTTGAAATTTTTAACCAATTAAAATCTCTATTGCAAATCAACTGCAATCCTACCTGCAAACCTTTCTGAGTGGATACTATAGAATAAAATATTGCTGCTTTTATCTTCGATTTATCTTCCTCTAGAAATGTTATATATTTTTTTGCGCTCCCCAGAATTCTAGTTTCAGCTTCTTCAATACCCTTTACACTATCTGTAATATATACATAAAAAATGTACTAGTTACTCTTCTCTTTTTTTCCTAGAAAACAAATTCTATTTAAAAAATTTAAAAATATTTACATAAAAAATGTACTAGTTACTCTTCTCTTTTTTTCCTAGAAAACAAATTCTATTTAAAAAATTTAAAAATATTTATTGCCTGGTATAACCTGGTATAACATCACATAATGCTGTATGCAACACGACAATAGGTTCTCTTGGCATGGATGGGTGCATAAATATGTAACATCTTCTATATGGCCCAACTCTGCGTTTCAAGTCCAACCAATTTCTCATGGGATGTATAGCTTCGTAATCGGAGACCTTTAGATTTGCGAATGTAGAAGAAGAAGAAGCACATGTCAGAAATGTAGAAATTGAAAGTAGATGTTGAATTGCAGAGATAAAATATATAATTACTTGTAATTACTTTTTGCAATATGTCACATGCGCTTTCCCAAGTTACTCGTTCCATGTGTAAGAAACCCACGGAAAACCAAAGCAAAAGCAGATCTCGCAAATAATGATTTAGTTGTTGTATTATTATACTTTCATCGGCATCTTTCACATCTGATATTAGTTCCTAACAAAAGTCAAATAATAATCGATAAAAATAAAAATTTAACTTAATCTCTCTGATACAAATTTCATTTTATGATAAGATTTGAGTCACAATGCACCCATGGGCGTCGCTCGTCGCTCGCAAGCACCCATAGGTAAAGATCTTTTATTTTGCTTACCAGAACATCGGTTCTTAGGTCAACCAAGAACTTGACGCCATGCTGCAATCTTCCTATAATAACGAATAACCAATGATAAGCAGGTGTAAGAACATTCTTCAAAGTTTTCTCATGGACAATCATTTGTCGTTCATTTTCAGGCTGTAATAAAAGGCTGGGATATAGACACTTTGCACAAGTGCGACATATGATATGTGATATGTGTTATTATTTAATAAGGGACGATCTCAGGAGAGAGATGAGGAGAGGAGAGGAGAGGAGAGGAGAAAAGAGAGAGAGAGAGAGAGAGAGAGAGAGAGAGAGAGTTCTTAGGCAATAACAAAAGAGAGAAAATACATTTATAACGTGGAAGTGGCAAAACATGTTTGGTTACGTTGATATCGAAATAAAAGTTGATACTCGAACGTATAGTTTGATTAAAGCGTTGCACACATAACTCGCAGAAAACAGTATTACTATGTGTATGTGTATACTATACCTCGGTGCAGACCAATCTCTTGGCCACTTGGCATATATCGTCGTGTTGTACGGCATACCGCGAAGCTAACGTGCGTAAAATCTGTTGGCGATTATCCTTGTTGCTCTCGGTATATCTGACGCACAGCGCACGTGCTTTGTTCTGCAAATACTTTTGTTATTTATACAATTTCTGTCAAGAAGAAAGTTAGAAAGGGAGACTGCGCTTTGTAACCTCTATGATCCAGTTGCTGATCTTGGTGTCCTTGAATCTAAAAATTTCCCGCAGTTCCTCGTCCACGTTCACTTCGGCACGTAAACTGGATGACGTTCCATATTCGTGTTTAACGTTGCGCTTCAACTTGTTGACGAATTTTAATTCCGTCGCTAGTCTGCAACGACGAGTAATCGGTAAGAGTTCGAAGGCAAGCTTTCTTAACATGATCGTAAATCGTAATCCAATTATATCTGCCTGCGCTTTCAATTATATCGAGATGAATTAGAGCAGATATTAGATACTTAATTTTCAACAGGTGTCATACATATACATATACATATATCAGCTGATGTGACATGTGGTGACATGTGACTTGAATGACTTGTCTTATTTGTCTGTTTTGTCACAGATCACAGTCATTATAGATTTTCACTGTTACATATTATATATTTCGATTTGTAGGTAAAATCGTAATTATTTTATATTGGTTATGGTTATGGATAAAACAGACCATATAGCGACTGTGTTTATACACGACTTGAAGGGTTCTGTTCGGGGGCCGCTAGGGACGCGCAACAGTCGCCAACGTGTACCCATGACCATGACGAATAGTGGTGAACTGGTGATCCCTGGATTCCCTGGAATCCCTGGGCAAAATGGTGAATAAATGGCGAATGGCGACGACGGCGACGCAGTGTCCTCAGTGAGCATGAGTGAGCAATGAGCATCAGCGAGGAGATTATCGTCAGTGTTATCTCGATGAATGTCTCGATGAAAGTAGTCTGAAAGCGATCGCAAATGTGACACGCGCCGCGATAATAATAATAACGTACAGAATGCAAACTGCGCGTTTTTATTGCCATCTTGTTTGGAGCGTTTGGTGTTTCTTCCAAGGTGATAACGCGTGCTTGATTACGCCTGTAGAACACGTTTCCCGTTCTTGTCCTGCTGTCACCTGTCAGCTGTCATCTGTCATCTGTCACCTGTCACCTGTCACGTTCTGTTACATCGATATTTCCTTTATTCCCTGTCGACTTCCGCGTCAGCCTCCGCCAGTCACTTCCTTCTCCTTTATAGATTAAGAACTGTCAATTGCTTGCGACAGACGAGACATCGTAGACACGTAGCGTTATCGTATTTTCAATTCTCAATTCTCAATCGTGTGTGTGTGTGTGTTTTTCTCAGTTACTGCCAAGGACTATATTAAACTGTCACACGATGGACCAGTTGTGCTGGGTGGGACGATCACTTTTAGAGCGGATTTGTACAGAGAGGACGGCCAGCGACCAAGGGGCACTTTCAGATACAAATGGAATGACGATTCGTTAATGAAACATGAATATCAGGTTATAATTACATCACGATGATATATAATTGCGTTATATACAGTTGTTTTATTTAGCCTTGGGCATGAAAGATTCTTAAATTTAGAGCTACATTAATATCTAATAATATTATTTAATTTTGTGAATTTATGGATCCGTTTACTTGTTTTTTTATATTAATATTGTAAATTGTTATTTTTTACATGTATATTTCCACGTTTCTACATCGCGTAACCTTTTAGAGCAAAGATACATCAAATACAACAACATTTTGGAGCATAAGTTATCCGCGCAAAGATAACATTCCTGGAAATTATATGGTGGAGTTAGAAGTTTCCTATCTCAGCTTGTCAATTTTTTGGATATTTGATGCAAGTGCTCGTATCGAGTTTGAGATTTCTGGTAACCTTTGTTGAGAAAATTTCTCTTTTGCTGCCTCTCTTCTTCAAATGTCACGTCTTATCGTTGTTATCATTTAATTTCAGAATGTCTCAATGGCAATGTAACGATAAAACAGGCTAATAAAACCACAACAGGAGAATACGTTTCCTCTGCAAACGAGACGAAACTAATGATAGACATGCGTAAGGGAGATTATGACTTTATAACGCAAGAGGCAACAGCGATATCGACGTATTGGTTTATCGACTGCAAGTATTACGGTCAGACAAATGATTTCGCTTTTGTTTATAATTTTACCAGTCCTGGCGTAACGCATGAAATAGGAGCTTTAGTGATCGCTTCGTACGATCTGCCAACGACCACAACCACGTTGACACCTACAACTACGGCCATACCTGATAACGTGACAACACGCGCGCCAAATGCTACTACGGCAAATTCCAATGGGACTCGTGTTACAATGGTAACATTACCAATACCTGTTACGAGTGCAAAACCATCGATAAAGCCTACGCCAACTGTGCTTCCAATTGACACAAGTACGATAGATCCTGGCAACATATTGTTGCCGTACATTTGCTCAAACACATCTCTTATTCCACCGGATCCTAATAAAACGTATGGATACTTTTCTAAGAAGATCCATATTCGTGGTTAGTATATGAAATTAATATTTTATTATAGAGGACGAATCATTCTGAATATACTTTTGTGTGTGTGAATCTAATCTATAATTTTTCAATAAATGTCTTTAGCTCCCGTGTCAAATATCTCAGTGGAAGGCACGAATTGGATCCAACCATGGGACATGCTATCTTTGAACGTGACTTGCAAGGGGTCAGGTCCGTTTTCCAAGTGTCTTCAATTTCACCGTGGCAAGTATAACGCAACGGGAAATGAAACGTGTGACAATATGGAACGCTTGTACTTTTGCAATTTTTCCATCGTCCATTATTTCCTCGAGCCCAGTGTCTACACAATATTAATCATATTGAACAACGAAGTTAGTACGCAAATTTATCCGCTAACGATAAACATTTACAAAGGTAAATTTCTATCAGCGATGTATTTATCAAATTTACCAAATTTCCTTGTTATAATTAATAGACACGATTACAATAATATTTGCATTTAACATTCTTACAGTTACGACAAAACCGCAGTTATCGGTTATCATAGTGCCAGTCTCTTGCTCAGTTGTCGCTGTGGTGCTGATAGTGTTCGGCGTGGCGTATTACATCCAAAGCAGAGCAAGATTCACGATAGAAGTCGCGGATTTTGATTTTGGGCAAAGTAATCCAGAGATGGAGTACAAAACGTTTACGGAACGCTTACGCGACTCGTTTAATAACACTGTAAGACCTGGCAGCAAACGGCTAAGCGTACCCTATTATGGCAGCATGAATCACTGAAACGTACAGGCTGTGCGAAGCTACGTGACCTCTATCGCCATCTAATCTTTCCGTTACCTTTAAATGCAGTATGATCTATTTCTTTTTGTTTCATCTTTTTGTTAATCTTAACTTTTATTTTCTTATCGCAGATTTAGTCTGATGGGGGAGGGGGTGGGGGAGAACTGGTTAGAACGACTAATACGAAATTTTTTCAATGACAGACAACTTTCTTCCGCTTTTGATCGCAAATTTCTATCGATTTGTATCGATCGGCTAGTAACTAACATATAAACTATGTTTATTGTAGGGGTATAAACCACTAAGCAATCCACAAACACTTCAGTGATGCGTGAACGAGAAGCAATGTTCTTAAAAACGACACTAAACTGTAACGAAAGTTTTGTGAGGAACGAGCGGAAACGAGTAATGCGCCAAGCAGAAATATCCATTGGCAAATTCGACAACACTGCTAATGAAGAGGTCTGTCGAATGTTGTGCGGTAACAAACATTGGGCAAATTCGTTTAATAAAGATAAACAGCGATTGTAAATAGAAAGGAAGAAGACAACGTTGCACGATAATTAATCAACTAGCGAATGATCAAATCGAGATTGTACATAGATGAGGAAGTTACGATGTATATATAGGCTGTGAATATAGTACGCAACGATATATTAGAGTCGCTCTTAACATGATACACGGGAAAACTTTATATTTTTTTAAAAAATCGCAACACACAGGAGTTATCTCAACTTACACATCCCATTTTATAATTCGTCATGCGTTATTCTCAATTGTTTATTGTTTATTAGCGATTGTATATGTTTCGCGCACGTACGGGATACAATAGTGATGAGTTTAAGAAAACAATAGTAAGGAAAGTACACTTTATTAACTTGTCTAACATTTTTACACACACATGTCACATATATACGCACACGCGTTTACATAAAAGTTGCTAATACGAAGAGGCTTTATTGAGAAGCAGAGTAAAATCAGGGTTGTACTAAGAAATTTTTTAAATATTACATTGTATTTATTATTTGTTAACAAGTAGATTTTTCAAGAGATTTCGATCCGAATAGAATCGTTTTAGAAATTTAGATCGTTTTAGAAATTCATTTATAGATGAAGCATGAACTACTATGAACACGTTATGAGACGTTATAAGCCAGAAGAATTCTGGAAATGTAATAATCGCATTATTGTGGCGTAAGAGTAATTACTTATCTGCTATATCTTTAATAAAGACAAGTGTTAATGGACGGAGAAGTGTTATACTGTTGCCGATTCTGCGTTATTGTTATTTTGGGGAATTGTCATGATATTATCGATATGTTACATCGAGCTCATCGTAGTTATGTAACTTGTTAGATTATTGTAATAATCTTGAATTATATCTTCATTAAAATAGTATTCTAATTTTGAAAAACAAGACATGATATAAACAGGTAAAACAGCTTTGTAATCAGACATTTAAAACTATCGATCGATATAGCGATTTTGATCAAGATTGAAATACTTTAAATGTTACTTAACATTTTGTAAAGATATATTTATCTCTACTTTTCGTTGTTTTTTTCTCTTTTATGTTAACACGGACAATAGATTTTCGAACGCACAGTGATTCTTAATATGATTGGTTCTTGTCTTTGGTTTTGTCCGGATCCAAGTGCAAGAACCAATCATAATGAGCGTTCACTCAACCCGACAGAGGTCTCCACTCTCTCCTGTCGACCCTTCTAGAGTGAATTTTGGAACGCAGCCATGGTTATACATACCGTGATGAGAGAGATGGCTAGAGGGGAAAGGGGGGGGAGGAAATATCAACATGGCGACTTGTGCGGTAAATTGGGCTAGTCGCGCCCTTTCGGTCGCGGTCGCGGTCGCGATCGCATGGTGAACGTTTGTTGACGTTGACGTTGACGTTGACGCGCGCCGTGCGTGTGACTCGAGGGTCTCGAGGCTCTCGAGTACTCGAGGTCGAGGGTCGTTTGTGTCGGTGCAGTTGCGAAGACGTCGAGGACGCGCGTCCTCCCGCCTCTGCACGTGGTGCTGTGTGGTGTAAGGTGTTGCGTGCTGTTGTGTGGTGCTGTGACCTGTGACCGTGACGCGACCGATAGCCGATAGCCGATAGCACAACACGGCCACGATGTCGGTCAGCTACGCTAGGATGAAATCGTGCCACGAGGCAACGTCGCCAACGTCGCCGACAACGCCGACGACGCCGACCTCGCCGACCTCGCCAACATCGTCGTCGACGACTACGCCGAGTAACGCGCCCAGGCGTGCCGGCGACGAGGAGGATTGGCGAATGCAGCTGGCGTTCTGCAAGCCCCGTCACAACGCCACGATCGAATACGTCAATTGTATCAGTCAGACTTGGCGCATGAAGGAGCGGGTACGTACATACGTACGTACTACACGCGATGTTCCGCGATCGCTGATCGCTATGACGCGACGGTTCATCTCGGAGAGAGAGGGAGAGAGAAACGAGAGTGTGAATGAAGCTATGTGATCGCGTGTGTACATACTTATATGTGCTTTTTTTCTCTTCAGATGAAAACGGTGAGCGTCGCTCTGGTGTTGTGCCTAAACGTTGGCGTTGACCCCCCGGACATCGTCAAGACGCAGCCATGCGCTCGCCTCGAATGCTGGATAGGTAACTGAATTAAATAGTCTTCCTAGTTTATTTACATTCCTCCTTCTCTATCGTTATCGTTATGTAATTGCGATTTTAAGGTTAGGTTAGGTTGTTAGGTATGTGTCCCATGCGTCGAGTGATTCGACTGGAGCAGCTAGAGCTAGACCGCGATATGCATACGATACGGAATGATGCGATATGCCAACACCAAAAAATTCGAAAAACGAGAAAAAGAATCAAATATTGCGTATAGTATGTATATATCGGCATAGAGACACATTCATAGAAGAAACACTCAAATTTGATGCTTTACTTATCATTTGATATACGAATGTACTAGGATCAATTATAATATAATTGGCTTTTACCCTAATGTCGTTCTCCTTCTCCAAACTGTGTTTCAAACTCTGTATAAGATATAAAGTAGAATTGTTTTTATTGTTATAATGATAATATTGTAATTACTATAATGTAAAGCAGAAACGTATGTAAAAATCTTATAACATTTATTTATCATACATAAAATGTTTACGTGGAATAAGGCTTTTTTTCTTCCTTATTTGCAAAATAATTATAAATATTAAGTGAATGATGATTGAAGAATGTATAAACATATGCAAATTACGACATATGTATTTTTTTATGTATCTATATAATTCTACAATAAACTTGGATGCAAAATTGTCAAGACTGATATCTTTCCAGATCCGTTGTCGGTGAGCCCTCAAAAAGCTCTCGAGACTATAGGTTCGAATTTGCAAAAGCAATATGAACGATGGCAGCCAAGAGCCCGCTACAAACAAAGTTTGGATCCAACCGTCGAGGAAGTTAAAAAGTTATGTACGTCTTTAAGGCGAAATGCCAAAGAAGAAAGAGTTTTGTTTCACTATAACGGTCATGGAGTGCCCAAACCTACTACTAATGGTGAAATATGGGTATTTAATAGGGTCAGTATAACAGACTCGGTATAAATAAATGAATTTATGTCCGTCGTATCTGATGCAATTTGGCTTTATATTAACAACGTTGCTTTTATCTGCTTTTACAGACATATACACAATACATTCCATTGTCGGTGTACGATTTGCAGACTTGGATGGGTGCGCCTAGTATTTATGTATACGATTGTTCCAATGCGGGTATTATAGTAGAATCTTTCCAGCAATTTGCCGACCAACATGAAAAGGAGTACGAGGTAATAATGATGTGTATAAATTTCCTTAATTAAAAATTCTAAATATTAATGAAGAATGTAAATGTAATTATTGAGCGACATTATATGTTACAGATGGAAAAGCAGCAAAATCGCGCGACCGGGGTGACATGTCCTGCAGCACCGTGTTATAAAAATTGTATTCAATTAGCAGCATGTGCGGCTAATCAGATTTTACCTATGAATCCGAATCTACCTGCAGATATATTTACTTCGTGTCTCACTACACCCATAAAAATTGCAATACGCTGGTAAGAATTTTTAAAATTAATGGGGCTGTTTTCTATTGCTACACTAGTTTGAGAAGTGTACGCACATACACGTACAATACATTTTTTGTTTTACATAGGTTTGCAATGCAGCCGACATCCAAATTAGTTCCCAACATATCGCTTGATCTCATTGACAAGTAAGATTATGTCAAATTTTTATTAAATTTTATTGTCCTGTAGAGAGAAACTAGTCTATAAATATTTTTATATATACATGTTCTAGAATTCCTGGGCAATTAACCGATAGAAGAACAATGCTAGGCGAGCTTAATTGGATATTTACCGCCATTACCGACACGATAGCATGGAATACCTTACCAAGAGGTAAGAGATTACAGCTACAAGTTTATTAACGCAAATTAAAAGTATGATTAAAATAATTATAAAAATGTCTTACAGATTTGTTTCAAAGATTATTTAGACAAGATTTATTGGTTGCCAGTCTCTTCAGAAATTTCTTGCTAGCAGAGAGGATACTTCGTTCTTACGATTGCACGCCAGTTTCTTCCCCAAAATTACCACCAACTTATCAGGTAAATTGATTCGTTATCTGTATTGACCAGTATCTCTAAAAATAACGTATTTCTTTGCTGTAACGTTGAAATGTACCAAAATTTTGAATTATTTCTTGCAAATTTGGAATAAAACTAATATTTTCCTGCACACACATTTTTTTTAGCACCGTATGTGGCAAGCTTGGGACATGGCGCTTGATCTGTGCTTGGCACAATTGCCAACGGTTCTGGAAAATGAAGACCGATACGTGCATTCGTCATTCTTTGAAGATCAACTCACAGCTTTCCAAGTATGGCTCAACTTAGGATCCAAAAATCGCAGTCCGCCTGAGCAGCTTCCAATTGTCCTCCAAGTGCTATTGAGTCAAGTTCATAGACTGAGAGCGCTAGAGCTGCTAGGGCGTTTTCTTGACCTTGGTCCGTGGGCTGTGAACTTAGCACTTAGCGTCGGCATCTTTCCATATGTTTTAAAATTATTACAAAGCAACGCCAGAGAACTTCGACCCCTGCTTGTTTTTATATGGGCAAAAATTCTAGCAGTGGATAATGTGAGTCCTATATTTTCATATTATTATTTATTATGCATATAATGTGACACACTATTCCTCATATATAACAATTCTAATTTTAGATGTGATTCTCAATTGCAGACTTGCCAAGCAGACCTTGTACGTGATGGTGGTCATAAATATTTCTTGTCCGTGCTGCAGGATACTTCTATCCCGGTAGCTTATATATTATACTTAATTTGATTCGGTAATTAAGCCCGGACTACAACGGCTAAAGTTTCTCGTAACGAAAGTATGTTTGATAATGATTCCAGAGTGAGCACAGAACATTAGCTGCGTTTGTATTGGCCAGTATTGTAAACGATTATCGGCCGGGTCAAGTGGCTGCAAATCAAGGCAATCTCGTTTCGATATGTTTGGAACAATTAGGAGATACAAATTCTTTGCTACGGCAATGGCTTTGCTTGTGCCTAGCGCGGCTTTGGCATAATTTCGATAAGGCGAGATGGTGCGGCGTCAGGGACATTGCTCATGAAAAATTATTCACCTTATTAAAGGATCCCGTCCCAGAGGTTACACGATACTATATATATATATATGTACACACACGCACACACTCTCAATATAATAATTGCATATATCTATAAATTTGCCGAATTAGACTTGTATGTATACAGATAATTGTGATTTATATCAATTTATTTTACAATTACTTTATAACGCCATTTTATAGCACAAAAAAGGAGTTTATATAATTTTTTAAATTTCTAATATAAATTTAATATGATTGTGATAACGAGCCAGAAAGCTTATGACAGTTTTATTATAACGTTACGTATCAATTTCGTAATTTTAAATAAATGTTGTTTGATACAGGTCCGGGCAGCTAGTGTGTACGCATTGGGCACATTTATAAACAGTGTTACGACCAGAAGCGAGCACGCGAATAATATCGATCAAATTATCGCTATGACACTTATCAATACAGTTTCTCACGACATGTGTCCATTGGTTAGAAAAGTAAGTCAGGATTTCAATATGGAATTGGTAAACATAGACAAATGACTGAAAAATTGTTACAAAAATTTTTATGCAGGAATTGGTTGTGGCTCTCCAATGGATGGTGCTACATTTTGAAAATTCCTTCGTTACGCTAGCTATGGCCGAGGAGAACAGTCGGAAGGATCTCGTCGTAGAAACTCTATCCCCATTCAGTGGTATGAGACGCATTAGTTCGCGCGACAGATTGAAGATGTTGTCCCCTAACAATACATACACCGTAGATACGACCGATGGGTTTGGACCGCAGGATCGCATCAAAAGAGTATCGTCTTCGTCGTCCATTAGTAGTCTAGGTAAGGAATGCCGATTTTCGAGAAAAGTCGAAAATCAATTAATACTTTCTGTCTGAGCACTGGATCGAACAGTTATTTGCATTGATTCTTTCGTGTGTCAGGTAATAATTGGGAGTTCGTGAGGAAACCTTGCGAGTCACTTGGTAATAATGATTGGAAGTTTCATTGCATGTTCATGTACTTATAGTTTATTATTATGCTTTTTGTTTTTGCAACTGTGCACAGTCTATAAATTGCAATTTCTGATAGACTGATAGAGTGCTTTTTGCACAAGCTTTGTATATAATAGCGACATTTTTTCTTTTTTTTTTTCTTATAAAAATAAATCTTATTAAGATAAACGATAACGACGTTTCGTGAATTTTATCAAATTGTTCATCGTAGGTCACAGTTCTCTTGGGAACTTACCGAGTCTCTCCTATGGTAGTGTATATATGAAATTATGGCATGGATTGTGCAATCTCGACAACGATCCTCATCCGGTAGTCAGTGCTATGTCTCAAAAAATTACCAATCATATTCGTAACAAGGTATTAATATCTTAACTTGTGTCACTTAAAACTCGGCTGTAAAGTTTTTGTTATATAGAACGTCATTAAAAATTTCAGGTAAAAGCATCGTCCATCCCTAAGGAAGTAGTTGAAACGAAAATTTCCTCGTCATTGTCTCTCCCGCCATCTCCGTCAAATCGGACTGGTTATTTGAGGTCAGTCAAGATTTACCTTATATAAGACTTAATCTCTGTCTTATCTCTCTAACTCTAACAATTATTTTTATGTATTAACAATAGCAAAGGAGAATCACCACCAGCGACTGTCAACTCTGGAACGGATCTCTTGCGTTCTTCGAGAGTTCTATCGCACAGTAGTCGTTCGAGAAAACCTGTTCCTAATACGGTAAGAATCGATTGTTCTTTTTTTTTTTTTTATCTCTTTCTAAACCGTTAACTTTTGTAACCGATCCAAGACAGCAAAGTAATGACGTACAAACATAAATCGTTTAAATTTTATTTTTAAAGTTACAATAAAATAAAAAAATATTCCAAGTACCTACTAGATATATTGACATATAACGAAAAATCATCCACTTATAATTTTAGATATCCGAAGAGACGGACGAAGCACCTGGAGCTAAAACTCCATTGACCACCTCCCAATTTGTTGAATGGAGTTGCGCGCAGTTTGCTCAGCCCGTTAGTCTAGAGGACGAAATGGACGATGTAGAGAGCAGACCATATCTCGAGCGAGAATGGCGGTAAGAAACTTTTATATATGTATATAAAAGTCTTTACTAAAATGCTAGTTCTCTAATTATAAAATGAGCTTTTGCGTTTTTACATAAAATGTTATACATGATCGTTGCAGATTTATACGTAACGCGAAGCAAAGACAAGACGCAAGAGAGGAACAATTACGCGCGCCGCAAAATAAGATGGAATCGCAAGTGTGTCACGCGAGGTGTTCCCAGTCACCTCAAGTTCTGGTTTTTCATCCATTCGAACCACATTTGGCCGTGGCGCTGAAAGATTGTTTCGGGTAATTGAATTTTCTGTCACCGTAATAAATAATTGATATCTAAAATACAATAAGTAAGCATTTAACGTACATACGAAAAAGATGTTTTAATTAACATTTATTAAAAATTCTTTCAGCATATGGGATTATCAGAGTGGCACAAAATTGACTTATTGCACAAGTTACGGAAACAAAGTAAAATCGCGCGTCACGGCACTTGAATTCATCAACTCTCACGACTTGACTCTGCTGATGGCAGGTTCCGACGACGGTTCCGTACAAATCTGGAAGAATTACAGTGGCACGATAAGTCGCGATCCGATTTTACTCACAGCTTGGCAGGCGCTGGCGGACGTGCAACCCGCAACAAAGACTTCTAGTGGTACATATCAGCGAGCATGTTTAAGACTCTGTTGTAAATTTACTTCTAGAATGCCTAGAATATTCTGTATACTTTCGTACGGTATACTTATATTCAGTATTGTAGCGAATAATAGTCAATAATCTACCTATTGACAGTGACAGCACGACTCGTCACAAAATGGGAACAGAAATCGCTCACTCTAGCGGTAACAGGCGATGTCCGCATTGTAAGGCTCTGGGATGCGGAAACTGAATTGAAGAAGCAAGATATTCCAACAGGCGCCGATTGTTGTACCACATGCATCGACGTTGACGGCACAGGTTGGTTGTTTAAAGAAGAGATATTTTCTATCCTCAAATTACGAGACATTTTATATATTACTGTATGTCGTTTTTTGTTACGCTAGTAACAATGTAAAATGAGCATTCTGTCCATCTAAAAATGTTTTTTGCAAAATTTTTCAGGTGCAATAATGGCACTGGGCTGTGGCGATGGATCAGTTCGACTCTTGGATCGAAGATTACCTCCGGCAGAGGCAAGAGTTATGACTTGGAGGGAACACACCGGTTGGGTGTTGGGCACATTTTTAAGACAATCCGAAGGAGCCGCACCGCAACTGTTCACCGGATCCTCCACAGGCGACATAAGAATCTTTGATCTTAGGAAACATTCCTCCGTGAACACGATTCAAATAACACCGGGCATCGCGGCATTGACTGTGCACGAAATAGCTGATGTTTTCGCCTGGTAAGCGCGATTAACTTGATCTTTTTCTAGTTATATTAGTATTATTTGTGTGTCAATATGACCATTGTAGATTTTATTAGCTGTAATTCCCGATATTATTTTAATGACGATATCTCTCGTGTTGTCTTGAATTAGAGAAAGATATGTTTTTGTTTTAGTGGCACCACAAATCATTGCATCAGCGTCTACAATACATCGGGACAACATCTCAATACGATAAAATTTCACGAAGGATTTATGGGTACGCGCCTCAGTCCGGTAAGCTGTCTGAATTTTCATCCATATCGCGTAACTTTGGCGGCCGGCTTCGTGGACAGTACCTTCACGGTATACGAGCCACGTAGATGACTATTAGAGATGGAACTCGTGTAAGAGCCTTGTAGAATTTTGTAAATTTATAAAAGCGCTATATATATATTTTTCCTTTTTTTTTTGGTTTGCGTCCGTTCTTGCGCGAACGCTTTTGCGATATTATCGGCGAAATTAGGGCTTTTTGTCCTCGGTGTTTCCGCGAGAGAAACAGAATAATTCCTATGACGATGATACAGTAGCCTCCCTTTTCCTGCTATTTCTTCTAGCTTCGCGTTAGAAAATCGATAATCTGGTTGGTATCACGCGCAAAAGATGGGGAGAAGACATAGTTGTAGCTTTTGTGATAAAAGTGAGAGACGGGCGGTTAACCAAAGTATTTCGAGGCGACCAAAGAATGAGATACGATTAACCATCTTGGTACGATTTTTGCGCATAAGATAGTGACTGTCGACAGAACTTTGGTGTACCGGGAAATGCTGATGCATAATTGCATAATAATATATGTACATTGTGATAAAAGGTTGAGGCGAGTTTGTGCAGAGAAAGCGAGAGAAAGATTAACGTTTAACGAAAACTGTACGGTGAGATAAACTCATCTATTGTGCCATGTAATATCTTTTCCTACTGCAGCAGAATTAAGCTGTTTCCATACAGATTTTGATGTAACAAAGATATTTTAATTACCGAACCGAGCACGATGTGGTTGTGTAAATACGGCTCGCGTTATATGCATTTTTATAAACTACGTGAGTGACACGTGTTGCTAGAGTATACGTTTCGTTATTGTTTGTCGACATAATATTATCATTTTTCGTTTTTAAATATTACTTCTATCATCGTGTTCCTGACCAATAAAACAATTCAGTTCCGTTTTGAACAATTTTAGCCATTACCAATATCGTACAAAGCTTTGCTTAAATAAGTATAATTTTGTAAACGGTAAGATTTTGACGAAGAACATATTTGTTACGTTTATATGTTTATTCGCGTGGCAATATTAGATATAAACTGTATGTATATGTGCAATATTTATAGATCGATTGTCGTCTAGATATATCGATCTAGATACACAACAACACAGCAGAAATTGCAAAATATATTTATAAAGCTTAAAAAGAAAAAAACGCGAAAATTATGGAGGGAGAGAGCGGAAAGAGCATATTTTTTTACATAAATATGCAACTTTCTAACAAAATTATACTTATTATCTATATAAGTTTATTTTACGAAAGCATTTAATTGTGAATGTTTAATTGTACACATATTGCGGCTACAACGAAGCGTATCGATCGAATTTTTACTTCTCAAGAGCCATTAGGAAAAAAAAACTAACCATCTTACAAGAATTATGTAGAATATTTAGAGATTACCGCAATTGTTCCCTCTGATGCATCAAACGGTATGTGGCAAAATTATTAGAAAATATTAACGATTGCATCTGTGATCGCAGTTGCGCAATTGCATTGTCGAAAAATAACGACAAGGTCGTTAATTTATTTTACAACAATATGATTATTTAGCAATTATGTTATTAATATACTAGCTTGTTCCGTTTAACTCTCGGTGGAAGCTGCTGCCGTTTTCGCGAAAAATGTATATATGCCGATATTCACGGGGACAGAAAGAGAGAGAGAGAGAGAGAAAAAGAAAGAGCAATTTAGCTTCTTTACGGTGCGTAATATATAGGACAAGTTATTGCTAAGCTAGGAGAGTACAAGTAGAGCACGTTGATGTTATACGAGCAAAAATCGGTTATATTAGTATGTAATGATAAATACATTGTAAATACGTAATAGGAAACTCTCACCGTAGAAAGAGGGAGGAGGTGCGAGAAGTGCACAGATAGAGCTTTGTATCACTTAATATTAAACGATAATTTTGTTATTGATACGTTGCCGTAATTTATGGCATGGCATGTGTGATAAAGTGACGGGGATCGATGGATTTGCATACGGTATTGTAACCGATCACAGATTTGTATAGATATGTAGATGCAATACGTAGTGCTAGATGTACTTAATCGCTCACCGTCGATTGTGGGGAAAGAAATCATACGTTTCTCTCTTTTTTTCTTTTACTTTTTCTGTTTATCAAAACGATTTGTTCGTTCTACATTTCGCTACTAACGAATTTGGGCGTTAACATTATCCATTGCGCGATTATTTCGATAAACGCTATCTCTATTTTTAGTACGTTCCACTGTACCTGTGCCTACTAAATTAGTCGTTTAACTCCCGTTTTTGCCAGTAGCAAACAAGTTTTGCAAGTGAATTTTTGAGTCATTTCAATTATAATAGAACAATAGAACTAAAAATGAGGGCAAAAATAGAGTAACGGTAAATGATGCTTCAGTCAGGAACCCTTTTAGCATTTTAAGCTATGTTGCCGCGGAAATGTTGCTATGGAAAAAACATATCTTGGTTGATTTTAAAGGAAAATGCTATTAATTGTAAGTACTAAAGTAAAGTAAATAACGAGAAAGATTGATTTGAAAATTTTGTTACGGTTATGTAATAGCTATAAATTTTTAAGTTTAAACTTTCGAGAGAAGAGGAGACGGCATGGACGCGAGATTAGAGTGATGAACAATTTCAATTTTAGCGCCATCAGAGATTAGCAATACATTGCGTTGCAGCCAACGCTACACAAACATAATTATTATTCTAAATTGCACAAAAATTTGAATAGTTGTAATTCTATAGTCCATGCCTCCACGAATAACCTTTTCTTCCCGTAAATTTTAGTTATAGTTACATTAATTTTCACATTTAGTTATATGCCATATGCATATAAATGTGGACTTGAAAATACGGATTTAAAAAGGTTTTACAATTTCGTTTTATCGTTTATTCGCGTAGCGATGGCAGACTGGTTCTGAAAAAAGGGATTTCCAATTTCGTTCCGGAATCTTAAGATCTAAATAAGACGTAAGAAACTAAACCAGTATAATTTCGGCAAGTTTAATCTCTAAACTCTAAACGTCTATACACTGCGGTAAAACTTTAGCTTTCGTTTTCTCTTTGTAGCCCTCTAACTGAAAATTATGATTAGATGTGTCAGTAGCGAGAAATCGAAGAAATCCTTTCCTTCTTTTGCACCGTATGACACATACGTTTTTTGCAACAAATTGGTTTATCGCGTTCTATCGAAATATCAACTCGGCGAAATTATACCGATCGATATCTTTTTTCGGCAAATGTAAATATAATATAATGCAAAATAGTTGCTTGCACGATAGCTGCTCTACTCTATGTACGGTAACTCGACGGATCGCGCCGTTATTATTATTATATACCTATGTATATCGTTAGCTAGCAATAATATATATACATAATCGCGCTAAGGATTCGCAGACACTTAGGGGATAAGGCTGGAGAAAAGGCGAGAATACCAAGTATCAATGATTTTGGCACCGTATGCTATTGTACATTCGTGTAATTATGTACGTGCCTCGTAGTAAAATACAATATGATGACGTTACTCTTGTGCCGATCTTGTGTAAATAACATAAATTCTCGTAACTTTCATTTTTCTTTTTCGTATATTTCCTATATTCTTAATAATCTTAATCATCGTATCCCACAGATCCCGCAGATTCCGCAAATCCTACAGATCCCGCTCACAATCAGACGTCGATGTCGTCGATGCACTTGCCGTTCGTCCTTCCATCGTAGAATCCAGTGTAGAATCAGCGTAGAATAAACGGGCGGAACGATTTTACCGATCGGCGAACATCTTTCGCCGTGACGTGGACGTGGCGGCTATCAGCGATCGTAAACGTGATGCTATTCCACCCTGTTCTAACGTATTTTTTCAGCTCACGTTCCGGACACGTACTCGACTGACCCGACTCGTCCCGTTGCGTAAGACAGGTGCCTTGAGAGCTACAATTCAATAGTTTGCACGAGAACGACAATGCACCTTACGCTAATATAGGTGCGTCATCGTCCGCGTCGCATTAATCATATATCGTTTAGGCTCGTCCTTTTGCCCTCGCCTCCCTTATTCACGTTGCATCGCGGCCATCGCGACCACCGCTTCAAGTCTCGCTAACAATAAGTTTTTATTGTATGAGTATTTTACAATGATTGTCAAGAACTTGGGCATTTTCTGCAGAATAAAAGTACCCGGCTGAGGATGCAGGCAGGTGGAGGTGCAGGTCTGCAGGTTAATCAAGGTTAATGACCTATACCCGACCGCGACGGGCGATATAGGGCGCCCCTAATATTTGCACCGAAAATATTTGCTTTCGGTTTCACATTTTAATCTTATCTGTCCTCGTTGTTTGAAAAAATTTCCGCTATTCGTACAGAGCGACCATTATTCGCGATTATATATACATGTATAACGAACTTTATTAGGAGGGTAGGAGGGAATCAGGGAATGTGCTCTTCATTAGATAAACAGAAAATCAGATTAATAATCTTGTTTGTGCAGTTCTCTCGGAGAACGCATAATTCGAGGGATGAATAAAAATCAGAGTAGAATGGAATCGTACGTATGTACGCAATATGTATGTACTGTGTCATTTGATCACTTGATACGCGTATTAATAGTAAATAACTAGTAAATTAGTTTGATTATTGGCAGATTAGCTCAAATATACTATTTGATACGCATATCAAGAGATCGATGTAAATTAGGCCTGTGTCTCTTATGTCAATTGTCAAACACAGCTGCGAGAAGTCAATCGTCGTTGGTCAGATCTCTCGATCGAGTTGACTCGCGACTCGCGACAATCGCGAGTATCGCGACCCAGCGATGGCCGATGGCGAAGGGTGCGGGGTGTCTCGGGTGCCATCCCTTCGCCCAGAGGGAGAAGGTAGGGGCCGTAGGAAGAGTTGTGTGCGAACGCGAACGTCGCTGAACCTCGCCAACTGCGAGGAGTGCGAGGCGAGGCGAGAGTGCGAGACGGTGCGAGGCTGAGCCGGCCGGGCCGAGGCAAAAGACGAAGTAGGGGCGTAGGGGGGAGGGGGGGGGGGGAGGGGAGAGCGCGGCGCGCGGCGTGGTCGCGTCGCTCGCGGCTCGCGCTTCACGCTCAGTCGGCTTTCGGCTTTCGGCCACGTTCGTCGCACTGTCGGCTCCGAGCTCAGTGTTCTCAGTGATACGGTCATCAGTCAGATCAGTGAGTAGGCTCAGTCTGCTCTGAGAAATCGTGTCGCGTGACGTTTGTCGCGCGCAGGTGTTGTGCGCGCCTACGCTTGTGAAGCGTCAACGTCGCGTCCGTCTTTACGCGCCTTAACACCCGCACCTGAGACCTGAGACTCTGTCAACCACTATCAGATCGTCACCGTCATCGTCACCGGCCCAAGACACCTGAAGACATCCACGGAGGAGGCAACGGCATATACGGCATTCGGCTGACTCGGCATTCGGCATTCAACTTTGACGGGCCCCGGCCGTAACAAGCGCGCGCGGCACCATGGATCGATCGTCCAAGTTGATTCTAAAGCTCGTCATAGACTTCCTCTGCCTATTCGTCGGTGAGTAAAAGTACCAGATTTATGTGTGGAATCGTAACGCTTATAAATTTGATAATGTTTCAAACAAGGAACGCATCACACGTGTCACACGTCACACGCGTCACACGTCGAGCGACCGGCTGTCAGCATTGTCAGCATTGCCAGCATTGACAGCATTGACAGTCGTGTCGCCGCACCGCGCCGTGCCGTGTGTAATGTGTATGCACGCGGTTCGTTTGATGTCCGGCCCATTCCGGCCGCGCCAAGTCGGGGCTGTGATGTGAGGGTGTAACCTCTAAATTGGCAGGTGCATTTTGTCCGTGCGAAAGCACCGTTCTCTCCGCTTCTCTCTTCGTTGCGATACGAGCGCGGTTTCCGTGAATTGCCTCGTCGGATACCTCATACCTATATAGCGCGTTGGCGAGATACGGGGGAGAACGAGAGAGCGAGAGAGAGAGAAAGAGAGCGCGCGCGCGCGCGATCCGTTTCGAAAGTACGCGGGTTTTCAACTCTTAGCGCTATGCATTCCGGAGTAGCACTCAGGCTTTAATGGAATCTCCTCGCTCAATTTATAGTATTTATACCGTGAGAGCTCTCTAATGGTCTTAATCTTGGCGTTACTTAAAAGGTGCTTTTTCTCGGGGAGGAAATTTTCAAAATAATATACTTCGCCGGAACATCCGTACATATACGTGTAAAAAGATTGTTAAATTCTCGGAGATAAAGTTTATTGTCGCAAAACTTTATTAGTCATTCGGAATTTATATAGATTTTTATAGATTTTCCAAGGACCGTGAACATTCGTACTTGTGTAAATTTACAAGGCGACTTGCGCGACCTGCAGCGATACAAGAAACTTGAAGCAAACAGTTTTTATATTTAACACAGTTTAAATGTAAAAAAGTGTTATATTGCATCATGTAACAAAAGTAAACTCACAAAAATTATAATACATTTATATTTACAAAACTTTTGCAAATATTTGTTCTCTTATTGTTAACAGATATATTTTTATCTCGTTCTATATGTACATTACAATTAAATTATGATTTACGAATGTTGATTTACGAGACACACACAATATTAGCGTGCGATACATCTCTTTCTGCCGCATCGCGGGGCGTCGTCCATCCCCATGACCGCGTATACGTGGATTAATGATAACATATTAATGAGTAGGAACAATGTAAGCGTATAGATAAAGATACTGTCGAAAGAAAGAAACAAAAGATGAATCGTTCGAGTGCGAGTGTCTTAATAGATTAACACTCAGTCAGCGTTTTAAGCTGACTAAATACGTGTGATTTCGTTTCGCGAGGGGAAGCACACTCCGCATGCTTTTCCATCGTTATCAGTTCTCATCATAATAGCGGCATGACTGTTGATTAACGCAGCACGCGATGTTTCGCGAAAATGTAGTACATCTCGCGAATGTGCATCCGGTAAATACGGGGTGTATAGAATCAGCTATTGCTCGATCGATATCATCTCTCGGTCTCGGTACCGCGGTGACACAGTTTCACGATATACGGAGAGACGATACGGCAACTTTACCTCGCGAAACTGCGATAACATTTCGTCACTCCCGTTAAAATACAGTCCATCACGAAACTACATCTGTAATATTACCCTCAGCATGAAAACGTACGACATTCTTGGAAAAAATATCCAAGTATTGAGTACTACATGAAGCGAAGAATGTTATTACTTAAAACTTCGCAGAGAGAGAGAGAGAGAGAGAGAGAGAGAGAGAGAGAGAGAGAGAACAAAAGAACAATGAATAACTTTGATAAAGTCGTAAATTTTTTGATCATTTTTTCGTATTTAGTAATATTTGACGACAAGATCAACTTAAATTAATTAATTACAAAGAGTTCGAAACCAAATTTTAATCAGTTACTTTTTTAAGTTTATTTTTTTGCACGGATAAGAAACATGAGTCTATAGTGACTTTGTCATTATCGCGATCTTTGATTTTGATGAGCGATTTTTAATTTATGTTTAATTCATATCGTTCTTATGAACGATAACACTTTTATTTTTTTAAATAAAGTGGATAAGTCGGTAACATTTTAAAATCCACCTATTTTTGCTTACAACCTGTAATGACGCAATTTTTTTATATAGTCACGAGGAAATATTGTGTGAAGCCGCAAATCGTTCCGTAAAGTTACGATAACGTTATCGGAAGGCAAGATCTTTTATGTGTCGCTTACATAACTTGTATTTCAGAAACGCGTATTTTAACAGCTCACTTTTGTCACCTCTAACAAATTACACTTGCTTACTAACCTATGGGATCAACTTACTTGTTTAGACCGTTATCTTTTCGAGTTCTTGCGCATAAAGAAGTTCGTAAACTTTAAGTTTACGGAGATATTGTAAAATCTATTTGATCGATAATTTATATATATATATATATATAATATAAAATCGATTAAATAGTTTCTCTCATGTATCTCTCTCTTAGTGCAATCAGTTATGTAAATGTTTGCCGTTATCTCAACAGGTGACTCGTTTACCTTGAAAAAAACGCAAATGTAATTCTGAATTTTAATGAGATGTAAATAAATGAATATGCTGCATCAATTTTAGGCCGGTTCTCGATATATCAACATTGTTAATATCCAAAGATTAATATAAATTTAATATTAAGAAAAAGATAATTATTATCCACATATTGAGAAACATACAATATGAATAATGATTCAAGTCCATTCGTGGATATTGTCTGAATAATTTGAGTCTTGATATCTGAGAAAATTTGAATCCGCGAATTTGTTAATCAACATCTCAAGTACTCGCAACTCGCCGCGTCGCGTAAATGAGTCACGGTCGGTTTCGCTCCGCGCGTACTTGACGCGAGATATTGCCGTGTCTCTTGATTCGAATTTTTGTACCATGCAATGGGAAAACCAGATCGAAAACAACAGAGCATATCAAAAATCGCCACTTTATCGTTCTTGATATCTAAACTTCGAAATTATTCGTTGATAATCGCATAAAATGATGGTCGAACTTTGTATTATTTTTAAATGATTTCTAATCACATTACGCAGAATGAAGATAAATATATATCCGAGTTTTTTTAATACGTTAAAATAGCGACAAATGATGTCATCGCGCAAGAAAAGCTTATCATTCAAGTATGTGAATCAATGAAATAATCTTTTCTTATCAAAATTGGCAAAGTTTTGATAAGTGAATTTACTTGGAAAAAAAAACACAAATATCGCTTTCAAAATCAAGTCTTGGCATCCATTGCAATGGACATTAATTTTATCGTAATTTATAATATATTTCGAAAGAGGAGAAAAAAAACAAGTTTTATGGAGCGCATCATAATAAAAAGTATATTTATTATCATTATAAGAATCGTATCATTTATGAACTTAATCCTCATATATGAGTTATATAAATTTAAAATGTATAAATATTTCTTTTTACAAAATTTGAAGAAATTGAGAGCCTATGCGATTATCAACGAATGACTGAAGTCTAGATATTAAGAACGATAAAGTGGCGATGAAATTTTTAATCATTGCACGACGCTGTTTATTATAAGTTGTGAGCTCGATTGTGAGTTTGCCCGAATCAAATTAGATGACCCGATTAGGTTGCACTCGTGTGCGTTGGAGTGTCGTGACGTATTTTCGTAGAAAAAAATCACAAGAGCAGCCGCGTAAACTGTTTTCTCGAGCTTACATGTAGGTAAAAATAAACGTGTAGTAAGCAATTTAATATCGGTCCGCGATGAAGAAACCTTGAGCCTTTCTTCTCTCTTTCTCCGTAGGAACAGATTGAAAGATTAATATATTTTTATAGACGTACAGACAACGCATATACCATGCACACATTGCATGCACACAGAGTGCAGGTCGTTCTGCTTAGAATCAATTTAGGCTGGTCGTTATTTTGCCACATCGGGTCGTCTTTCCTTTTAAGCGTATAATGTGTTACGCGAAACGTGACCATTTTTCATGCGTCCGGCTCAATAATCGGTTCCTTTCAGAGTTCGTTAAGAGCTGGCGGTCTCGACCAGTCGAAAGGCAGAGGTTGTGAAAAGGCCCAAACCTACGGCACTTGTATGCCCTGTAAGGCAAGTGTGTGTCGAGTCCATTCATGGAGAGCTAACAATTAAAATAAGTCGATTTCTCTCGATTTGGTGACTAGTCCCGGGACCGAGATCGCGCGCGCTTTGCATTAATGAATACGCGTAATTATTCAATTACATCTATCTTTTGTTGTCTCTCCAATGAAATATATCGCTTCAATTATTCGCGTGTTTGCGTGAGGAATTAATAATAACAAAATTTCAGCATAATCGCACGTACGCATCATTTTCTCCTTTTCTTTTTCATTTCTCATCTTAATCGACTCAAGATTTATGGTGTTTGTATTTCGTTACTTTTTCATTCCTTATGGATCGCAATTTTGTTCATAGGCAGATTTATGCGGGCGATTTCCTGTGTGATATATAGCGCGTGTTGCGCTGAAATAAGGTCTCTTGAATCAGTAGCAGAGACGATGGCTTTTTTGAAGGAGCGTTGACATTATGATTATGGAAGCATTATGACAATGAAAGAAACAAACCCTTTATAACGAGACAGAAAGAATGAGATATGTGATGAGTTATGACTAAGGCGTAGGTACGGGATAGATGTAATGGTATTGCTACTACATTTGTATCGTAAACATGCGGAGAATATTTTATGTTACGACAAGTTTCTTTCTTCGTAACAGATTGAATGATTTCGCATACCTAATACGTAGAATTTTTCCGAAATTTCATAATAATTCGTAATTTTACTCGTAATCATATCGGACGTGTACGAATAAAAATCACACAGTTATAAGATGCGAGAGTTAAAGCGTCTCCATCTCTTCGGAATATCATTATATTATACATATTTATAATCTAATGTTAAACTCTTCTCATTGTAATTATAATTTTGCTATAATTATATCCTCCTAAATTAACTGCATTTGAATTTTAATACTTTTACTACTTATTAAGACTAATTTTTCTTAATTAATCTAAATTAATTACTACGTAAAATAGATAAATCTGGTATACCTAAGAGAATCTACATGATCCATTTTTTTTTGAATTGTCAAAGTTGCTAAGCATGATGGATTTATTATGCTTTTCATATATTTTTTGTACAAATTTTTTACAAATTTTTAAATTTATGAGTATTTACATTTATGGCATCTTAAAATTGAAAATGTTCAATAAAACAATGTAAAAATAACGATGAAGAGTTTGTGTGTTGCGAGATTGAAAAGTTTGAAATTTAACGTTGCTAAAACATTCTTCACTAAGATTGAACGGGCTCTCGGACCTTTATTATGAGCCGCAGGCTCTTTATATTTGCATACCAAAGAGAGGGAGAGAAAACCAGATTTATGTTCGCGGGAGAAGTGTTTATAATGCAACAAACATAACAAGTTTTTAACTTGCAAAAATTTGATATATTCACTATCGAGTTTAGCAATATATTTACACACATACAATATAACTACTATATAATAAAATTAATTTGTTTCGATAAATATTAACGAAACACAAAATACGAGTATTATAATAAGGTAATTACAAACTTTGATCAATGATTACGAGATAAATTATAAATAATAAAGACTAAAATATTGAAGGTATTTTATCTTTTTTTTTTGGGGAGCCAAAAGAAAAACGATATTTCACAAAGAGGGATATGGTCTAATGGAATACGAAGTACTTCACTCATGGATCGAGAAAGGCAGCGGTTTCGCATTGAGTCATCACCACTAACAATGACGTATACATACAAATTTGTAATGATGACAAAACACGAACGCCTATACCAAATGGGTGTCAAGGTGTAATCTAAAAATTTGAATCCATCGATAGAGTGATGCAGATGTCCACACAAAGTATACATACTAAAAAAGTATGTATCTCTTATTAGTCATTACGTAACGCATCTGCAGTCATTGCATCCGTGTAATAATTGTATGCAGCCTAATTACGCGAGAATAATCAAAGTACAACGAGACTTTTCCTGTTTTTACAAACTTTGACATTTTGTAACCATTTTATAGACGTTATCTTTGTTAGATCCTTGTGACATCATATTTTGCAACATTTCTGTATTTTATGCGCCCACTCTGAGTTTTTTCGCGAATATCTTTCATATATGTTTGTAATATACAAATTATTTTCAGAATTTCCCCAAGTTTTCAATTATAAACGTTGACTTCGTATTATTTAATTGTCGAATAAATCGTCCTTGGCCCTTTTCTGTCGTGTTACGAACGACGTTACGCTTGACAGCATACTGATGATAATTTCTTCTTATTATGTAATATAAATGTATATAAGGCGCAACGAACCATAAATGCCATGGGACGTGAGTTTCTTTTATTATATACGTTTCATTTCACACTTGACTCACAGAGTCAAAGAACTACCATGCAGACGGTCCTCATGGTTATGAATTATTACGTATTATGAAATATCTTTGATATTGCATGCATACTTCCAAGCAAAAGTATTGAATTATTTTTATTTACAAATCGCAAGTAATATACTTTTGTTATTAAGAGCATAATTCGTCAAGTTCTAAGTTTAATTTACTAGACTAGAAACAGTAATGTAAAATTTCGATCGTGTCGATACCGTTACGTGTCATTTTTTTTTCTTTTTTCTAGAAATCTAGATTATAATTATGTTAGAAGTTAGAATTTTTCGGGGGAGCGCAATTTGGCTTGCAAAACAGCCGATTGATGGGGCTATATAAATAATAAGCGATCACGCGAGCTGTTACTTTAGCCGCTGTGCACTGATGTGTATTACTTCGTTCTTGCTGAAAGCGGTGTAACAATTATCTCAATAACCGGCTACGCTCGTAATTTTCATATATTGGTGTAACGTGCGCAAATAAATTCACAGGCCGATAGGTAGTCTATAATTTCCCAATGATTTTCCGTAAAGCTGCGCGTTTAAATTTTAATTTATGCGTCGATGACAGGTACGGCTGAAAAAAATTATATCGTATACGAGAAGAAAAACACCCTCGATAATTAGACGATACACCGTTTTCGTTAACAAGCCTTAACAGCAGGGTGTGGACCTCCAGTATTAATAAAGTCTTACGCATGAGAAGTATCGATATATATAGTTATGAATGTAGTATTGCATATACCTACACATGGTAGAAATAATTATAGCAAATGGCGGAAATTATCTGTATAACCGTATAATGAAGCAGTTGTAATAACTGACGTTAAAATGTTCAAGATTAAAATAATTTTAATTAAATCCAATTATATTTTTAAACTTTAGATAATTATTTTTAGATAATTATCGAGTTGCAACAAATAAAATAAATATTAGTTTAATGAAATATTTTTTACATTAAAGCACATTTAAACATATAGAATATTTGACATGCAAGAAGTATAAATTTTTGACTCAAGATATAAATTGTGAAAGCATAAATAAGTATAGAAGAAACAATATTATATTTTTCAGAAAATTTCGATGGTTTTGCTTCAATAAAAATTCATATTTTTATGATTAGATGATCGAAATACGCAAATTAAGAAGTCATGAGAAATAATAATTGCCTAGAGCCTAGACAAAAGTTATTTATTTTTTTCCTAAATTTTTAATAAAAGCAACAATTATATAGCTACATAAAATTTATTCGAGATTCGTGAAAAATGTAGCTATAAAATAAAAATACAAAAGATATATGATTCTCGATATACTTACAGAAACATATATAATTGGAAAGGTTTCGATTCGGTCGAAGATTAAAGAGCATCATTGAAAGTTAGTTGGGCGAATTCATGCGAACGCATGCCATCTTGATTGGTAATCACAACATTATCGTTCGTCATACGTCAGCTGTTGCTACTGAGCAGCAGCAGTAGCAACAGCTGTATACGAGCAAGTGCCAATAAATTGCATGTTAATTCGGAGTTGACGAGATGACGTTCAATCCGGATCAATCGATCGCTACATAGATCGACTCGTCTCGAACGATAACATTATTACTCTATGGATTGTTATTGATATTGTGAGTGAGATCGACGCGGTGTATAACGAGATTGTTTTTCTCTTATGTTTCAGTGGGCATTTCGGTGCTGATGTTCTTCCTATTCGGCAAACCTTACAAACGCGGTTTCTTCTGCAACGATGAGTCACTCTATCATCCGTTTCACGAATCTACGGTTACGAGCACGATGTTGTACATCATCGGTCTTTTCCTTCCTATATGCACGGTGAGTCACCTTGCGTTTGCGATTGCGACTGTGATTTACGCACGCGATAAAAGACACGTGAGAAATCACCTGTTAACTTACCATTACAGCGAGAACCTCATCTCTCTCATTACCATTTTTTTACGTGCATTACTCTCTTGTATACAACATGTAAAAGTTGACATTTGAAATATATATCCGTCATTTAGCAAGTTATTATAATTTAATGTTGAACGTTTCTCTCGTCTCAGAAAGGAAGTAGTATTTAATTTTCAATAGGGATTGGCGTAATGTTCTCTTCTTCTCCGAGATTTTTACTTTAAAGAAATTACATGTATCTTGAAAATAAAAATTAATTTGTACTGATATTCTTTTTTCAATTTGAATAAGAAATATAAAATTAATGCGCAGAAGTTTAATATTTGTATTAAAGAAATATTTTTTTTATTTTTCTGCGATACGCATTAAATAATGAATCTGAAATTATGAATATTACAATTAACTAACATTTTAACGTGTTGGTTTAAAAATTAAAAATTCTCTATTCACGTCAGGCGAAAATAAAAATTTTAGGAGACCATCTGTGTCATGTCTTTGTGCAATTCTGACGACATGACATAGTGCTTTGAGTTTACGCGTTGACACAATGATCAATAGCAGATGCGATCGCGAACGAACGCGACTCGAATAAGGACCTGTCGCGTGCCGCTTTTATTAAAACTCTTCCCAAAAGGAGGGGTGACAGAGGTGGTGGTCTAAGAATACGAGAGACACACGAGAGACGAGTGATATCAGGCTCGCGCTTCGCTGCCTGCACATGTGAGTAGACTGGCGGGAAGTGAGTACGCTCGTTTTCGGTGCTTGTTGTGGGAATCAATTTACTTTACGGTACCAGTTACGGTGGAGGTGGGGACGGTGGGGTTCACACAATTCGCAGCACATGTATCCACTATCCGAGTATCACTATTTTTATCGAGCTCAGAGGATATAAGGGAAAGAAAAAAAAAGTGAAAGAGACGGAAACTATCTTTTTCGTGCGTGTATTTTCTAACTGTATTCTCGAAGAGGCTGACTGCAATCTGCATGCACTTTGCCGAATAGGGACGAAGCCAAAGGAGGTCGTCGATTCGACCAAAGGGAACGGAATGTGTGTTTATGATTTACTGTTTATTTGCAAATAATTCTCCCCTTTTCGCGAGTATCCATGTATCGTCATCACGTGACTTGTTTATGAGATCGGCACGTTTCCATACGTAATTTGCGCTATTTATAAATTTCACGTATTCTCTCTTATTCGAATGTTTAGAAATCTATGTACAATTAGCTTCAACGAATGCATCGAATTTCTACTCTATAAATTTTTGCTTTAATTTCTAATATATTAGAGTCTATTCCATCACTCCAAAATTAACTTTTCAACTGCAAGATGTCAGAAAAATAGAAATAAAAAAATACGTTCGTGGTTGTCTAATTTTATTAAGAATATGACGAGACAATTTATGTGGTCATTTTTATGGCCATTTTAAATAATGATTTATCATGAACATATTTTAATAATACAATTAAATAACTGAAAATGTGGCTAATTACAACATTGCTGATGTAGTTTTTTTTTTTAAGCTAACTACTTAGGGAACATTTCTATTTTTGCGTCTTATTATTGAAATTATGCAAATATTCATATTATTTGTCGAGGAACGAGTGCTGCTCTTTGCGGCAAGGCGTAAAATATAAATGCAATCTTGTTTTTTTTTATCTTATTGTTAGGCGAAAACGAAGAGCTGGAAGTTATTGCCATCAGATTTACACGAGAATAAAACACACCGTTTTGGTTTTCTCCATTTTTGTCGGCATTTTTCGCGTTTCTCATTTCACCGTTGGCCACGAAAGATTTGCCGTTCTTCAGACGTCAGGGTCGTCAGGTGCCCACTCCGTTCTTCTGCTCTCTTCTCGACCGTCGCGTGAAGTTCAAATTAACGCTGTCGCCGCGGGGCAAATAATTTCAAACGTCGTGCATAATTCAAAGCATGTGAAATTGCGTGCATATATGTGTGTGTGTGTGTGTATGTAAACAAAAAATAAAGACTGTGTGCGTGTGTGCGAGAGAGAGAGAGAGAGAGAGAGAGAGAGAGAGAGAGAGAGAGAGAG